CCATTCTCCTTCTCCGATTTTTCTGCTTTCTTTTAGAGTAGTTCACTACTATTAACGGTTGGATTTCCCTGTTTTGGAGGGTGATGTAACACGGTGGGAAGGGGGAGGGGGGGGGGGGGGGGGGTCCGCGCGTGAGAGGGTTTCAACTCCGAAAGCCCCCTCATCTCTCGACGCGATATTGGATATACACATTCATAAAACATAAACAAAGCTATATGCCATGTGCACATTTTCATAATTTTTCGTCTCTCCATGACAAAGATTTCACTACCGACGAGAGAGTCATCCGCGATTATACGTCACAATCCACTTACCAAACAGCCAACTTGATATTCGCATAGACCTTGTGATCTCATATTTCAAACTTTCATAACTTTCTTACTATTCACTGTACCATAATACTAGTAAAAAAATAAGAGGTAGTTGTAGTTTCGTGAACATGCAATGCCAGTAAATTGTAAGCCTGAAAGAACATATTATCCACTGTACAAGTAAAAGAAGAGGTAGTTGTAGTTTCGTATACATGCAATGCTAGTAAATTGCAAGCTTGAAAGAACATATTATCCACTGTAACATGAAGTCCACAATACTAGTAAAATAAGAGGTAGTTGTAGTTTCGTATACATGCAATGCTAGTAAAGTGTAAGCGTGAAAGAACATATTATATACTGTACTATAAAACTAGTAAAATAAGAGGTACTTTTAGTTTGGTATGCATGCAAAGCTAGTAAAGTGTAAGCCTGATATAACATACTATACACTGTACTATAAAACTAGTAAAATAAGAGGTGGTTTTAGTTTCGTATACATGCAAAGCTAGTACAGTGTAAGCCTGAAATAACATATTATGCACTATAGTCAAATAATAGGTAGTTTTAGTTTCGTATATATGCAATGCTGGTAAAGGTTTAGGCTTGAATAATATGCACTGTACTAAGATTTTTTTTTCATTATTGAAACGTAAAAAGAAACAAGTTTGTGGCGTGTGAATAATGTCAATAAAGTATATTATATGAGGTGTAATTTTTGCTATCTTACTTAAAGCAATTAAAGCAATTTCTGAGAACTGGAGTCTATTTAGATTTCTGTATCCAATTATGTTAATGTCATTTGGGCGTGATCACAATAATTATTGGATGTGGTCGTTCCATGATTCTTTATACTTCATATAACGTTGTAATATGTGTTGACCCATGTATTTCTGGAGTTTCCTGAGTTAAGGAAAAGTCATGCTTCCTGTGCGTGTGTGTGTGAGTGAGTGTGTGTGTGTTTGTGTAATTGTTCTTTTACGGGTATCAATCAGATATGATCTGATAATTATTTACTTTTGGGACCGACCTTACTTCGAACCTGGGTCTGATCAGAGTCAGTTAGTGGCCAAGACAGATACCGTAATGCTAGACCAAGTCACATCTCACACAATTTCTCCTTCAATAATTTATACAATACAAATCATTACATTAAATCAAAGGTCTACAATGAATAATATACAATACATTATGTTATACAGTCAAACATGACTGTGGTTTCTATACAGGCCACCTGTCTATAGTGGGCAGTGGCCATGTGTTTTGTCTCCCTCGAGAAAAAAATATGCAACGTAGAACCTGTCTAGAAAGGCCCCTGTTTATATACAGTGGTCACTTTCTCTACTTCCCTTGGGTGACCTCTATCGGCAGGTTCGACACAAGATAATATTGGCATTGTTTATATAATTATGACATTCATTGACAGTCCATCGTTAACGGTGATTACATGATAAAACCTTTCAGTGTTTTATTGCATGGCTCCACAGTCTAACTCGGCTGGCACTGCAGAAACCACATACATTGCAAGCGTACATCAGGTTTGTAGGACTTTTAGATTCTACACGACGAGAACGTGGACTGCCATTTTAAGGCAATGTGACGTCATTTTAAGGCACTGGCAGTGACGTCACATTGCCTTAAAAGGGCAGTCCGCGTTCTCGTCGTGCAGAATCTAAAAGTCCCTAATAAATATATTAGGACAGCAGATTGATGCAGCGTGCAAGGCAGCTATATTGTTCTCAGCAGCTCGATGGCCTGTTTCAGCCGTAGTAGCTGCTGTAGCAACAAGCGCCTCTATTCTGTAAGACTATATGCTGCTTTCTCAACTGTACGTACAGCACTCTTACAGTAATTGTACTTATCACAGTTATCAGTAAGACTGAGAAAAGTCTCATATTAAGATGGAAAATATGATATAATTAGGGGTTAGAACCAGGGGCGTACGCAGGATTTTTTAAGGGGGGGGGGGGGGGTTAACATTTTTAAATCGGGCCGAAAATTTCGCAACGACTCAGCCAGCCGCTGAATAAGCGGGGGGGGGGGGGGGGGGGTAAGAAGACACTTTTTTTTTAATTATTAAAAAGAAAAAGAAAAAAAAAAATCGCAAAAGGGGGGGGGGGGTGGGGGTTTGATCTAAAATACACACATACAAAAAACCAAAGGGGGGGGGGGTTCAACCCCAACCCCCCCCCCCCTGCGTACGTGCCTGGTTGAAACATTGTTTCAAACAAAAAAGTCTCTCTCGATTAAGAATTCAAATTCATTAACTTTCAACAATGAAAGAAATAAGCAAAAATTATTCACATTTAATGTTTATTTAAAAATCTTATTAATAAATAGTGTCCACTTTCTTTTGCAGTGTGTATTTTATTGTTTGTTTCTATTTTTCAGGATTCCCTGGGATATCCGCCCCTGCTTACAGTAAAATATTCTTTTTGTTTTCCGTCAGTATTGAAATTATTGTCCATGATATTGCATACGCTTAACATTGGATGGCGGGCTTATGAGGCGAAGGTCTACTGCAGAGGAGACACAAAGAAAGAAAAAACGCTATTTAAATCTTATTAAAGACGTTATCCCGTAAATCATTAAAAAAACATTTTCTAGACTGACTTTCCTTCTTTACTCGGGCCCTAAAGTATGAATCATTAGCCTTGTATACGATAGCTTTTGCATGGCTTCAAGTCCTACAAATGGAACAAAATGATTGTTTGACGTTCTTGAATGAATCATTACAAAATAATTTGAAATTGCGTGTTTTCTTTATTTTCTTCTACTTTTCTATCTTTTTTCTTTCATTCTCATTCTTCGTTATTTTCCAGCTTTTTTCTTCTTATTTCCTATTTTGTTTCAGTTTCTTTTCCCTTTCCTTTTTTTTTGGGGGGGGGGGGGAGGGTGGGGATGGGGTCGGGGTAGCAGCTCCTAAGACCCCCTCCAATACGCCAGTAAGGTGGTGTCTAAGTCTTGGAGATGAAACTTTTCTGTAATAATTTTACTTGGCGGCTTCGTTCCTCCTCATCCTCATTTCTCTTTCTTTCGATTCTCTTTTCTCCCTCTTAATCTATTCTTTCTCCAAGATGTCGCTTTCTGTTTTTTCCTGTTTCTTTTCCTTTTACTTTTCCGTTATCGTTCTTCTAATTCTTTCATCTTCCTCTCCGACTTTCTCTTTGCTTCTTGGCTTCTCTTTCTTTCCTTCTTCAATTTTCCTTTCTCTTTTCTCTTGTCCTTCTCTCTCTTCTCAATTTTCGTTTTCTTCTTTCTCTATCCCCCTGTCTTATTCCCTTTTTGCCGACAGAAATCTTAAGCTCAACTCAATAGTGACGCCCCTGACAACCACTACGGTATTACCTATGCTTTGTTTCTTTAATAAATTCATTTTTTTTTCAATATTGCTCTCGACTCACAAAACCATAACAAAACATATATATATATATATATATATATATATATATATATATACGTAATATAAACAATAGAATTAAACCAAAAATATACCTGATTATACAGGACATGGTGGTACAGATAATTTTGTTTTAAAGCAATAAAATGTTTTTCCATCTATTATCAAATTATATAAATTTGTTGTTTTTAAGATAAATGTAATGTTCAAGATAACAATAATACCTTAACATGCATTTAAAAGAATTAGTGATAATGCGCTATTTTTGCATTTGTTGGGAAATATATAGTATTTGGCAAATGAAATAATAAGATAAAATAAAAATTCAACGTTTCCATAAAATGCAAATACGAATTTTACTTTATTCAAAGCAATTTTATCCTCTAAAATGAAATGTTGGACATCCGCAATAAGCCTTCTAATGATTGGGAAATCCCAAAATAAATGTTCAATAGATTCCTCGGAGTTATAACAAAATGAACAAAAGTCTGATATCGAAATATTTAATAATTTAAGATATTTATTAACACCATACGGTATTACTTATGCTTAATGGTAGAGTGTATTTGATATAATCATTCTAAATAACGCCAGCATTAACTTTGAGTAAATCTTAAGCTATTAAAAATGATTTATAAAATGTGCTTTGTTATTAGTGAATTCAACTGCATTTCGAGAGTATAAACATATATTTCTTTAGTTTTAAGTACACGCATTGTTATAATGTTATCAGCTTTTTCCTCATATAATCAGACAGTTCTACTTATAGGGTCCAGCCTCCTTATAAACCACTCCCCCTAAGTGATTGTACATATGCTGTATGTTGTATAGAACTAAATGTTCATTTTCACAATAAAATTCAGAAACATTGAAATAATCTGTACCATGTATTTCATTCTGTACTATAAACATAAACAATGATTGACAAGCCGCTTTACTTTCTCCATTTTGTGCGTAAGAATACAATAAACAGAAGAGGTAGATAGACATAGAGAGAAAGAAAAATATATACAAAATAGAGAGTGAAAGAGAGGAGAAGGAAACAGAGGGAAAGAGAGCGATACAGAGAAAGAGAGAGAGAGAGAGAGAGGTCAAGCGATATATATATATATATATATAGAGAGAGAGAGAGAGAGAGAGAGAGAGAGAGAGAGAGAGAGAGAGAGAAAAAAAAAGAGAGAGACAATCAGGTAAGGGAAACGCAAAGTAGATCCAGGAAATAAACTTGTGAACAAAAGATTCGATTGTATTTCCGCCTCCAAGTGAGACATCCGAATAATACCTAGGCAAATATGATGAACTCTAAAGCATACAAGTGCGATCCGGTCCATGGGCGATAGAAATAAAATACACTCCATGCATTCCCATACCGGTATGTATTATGAATTGTGTCTGTAACTGTACAGAAAAGGAAAACAACGTGATCTCAAAAATGTCATGAAAGAACTTGTTTGCAAACTATCACGTCTGCACGCGACGTTGACCAATACAGTCAGCTAGTGCATTGAACTTGGTTTATACTGCATGTACATATAGTTGTTGGAATCATTTTCTGGAACGGACAAGGGATATATCTACTTTATCCAGTGGCAGGATATCTGTTGGTAATTGAGTGCACGGACTGATGAGGACACGATCTGTTAACCGGCCTCTGGTCACCGAGAAATAAAAACACTCTTTATGATCAGCGTATGGCGTATGCGGGTGCGGATAATCCACAGCAGATCATGCCAACAGATTTAGAGCGGAGAGCGCTATCTAAAATCTGAAATTTAACCAACAAGAACATCGTGACTTCACCTATATATATGGCAAGGGAAATGTGTGATTCAAGAGGCAGAAAGCGTCAGAATAATTCAGACTTATTGAAATCACACTCATAAGAAGGAATCATGCAGCTACTGTATGTGGAAATGGGAAGAAAAATGAGGTCATTCTAGCGGCATACTTCTTGCCGGGAAGTCGTTATCCTGTGGAGTATAATTGCAAACGGAGGATTTAGCCATGCACGCTGAGGATGGGTAATATATTACCCGGGCTATAGTATATTCCTGAAGAACAACATAACTAGGCTTTGCATGAATTGCAAGGATTTTACAGATGGAATCAAAGGAGCACAACAGGAATTTATCTCGATGTAATAACAGCCTATACATACAGCTTAGTATGCACTCGACTCGACAGCACAACAAATTTATTGTCGGAATTGAAGTTGAGACCAGCTAGTACAACATTTCCTAACCCCAAGCCACGCCGAGGAGACCAACACCCGACCACATATGAAAACGTTATATCATGTGCTATGCTTCACAGTCTATATGAACGGAATATTATTATTATTAGTATTAGAAGTAGTAGTGGTACATAAATCCCGTACTTATATCAGCTGTTAGTACATTTCAACTCCCGTCATGGACGGAAGCGAAGAGTTGCTACTGATCAGGAGAACAGAGACGGGCGAGACTGATGGGACAATAGTCCGCTTAAGATGGAGAGTGTATGGGTTAGCTATCATCACTCTCCTTAACGCCATGAACTTCACACAACAGTGAGTATATTCATGTAAATAACTTAAAGCAACTTAAACATTATTGTCCCTATACCAAATATTTACAATACCATAATTTTGTATCGTAATGTATCAAAAATTTAAACCAAGTGCCCCGTTATACGAATAGATGTATTTCAATAATCAGAATGCGAATTGTATACATTAAGTGTTGTTACAGTGGCGGATCCAGGGGTGGGCCGAAACGACCGCCCCCCCCCCTATTAGCGACGCAAAAAAATTGAGAAGGAAAAAAGAGGAAGAGAAAAAAAGGCGCGTACGCAGGGGGGGGGGGGGGGGTCGAACCCCCCTCAAATTTTTGTCAAGTTATCAAGTTGGTCCTGATGTGTATAATGCGTAGACCAGGGGTTCTCAAACTTTTTCTTTGACGGTCCAGAAGCGATTTCTATGAAAGCTGTAAGGTCCGAAATGACACTTGTATACTGAAGATAATGAGGCTTGTTTTTGGTCTATATCTGATCCAAAGAGAATTGTTACAGTTTAAAAAAAACAGAACCGCCAGTGCTTCCACTCGTTTAAATAGAGTTTCCAGAAAAAGAACACCCAATATCCTGGAATTTAAAAGAATTTTCTTAAAACTTTCAAAATGCCTCTTACGTGGATTTCTTATTTGGATGAATCGCTATGACGTTTTAATATATATCAATTATTGAGTAGGCTTATTTTGCTTTCTAATGGATCCATACAACATGGCAGAGCTTGAGGGGCCTGGCAGAGCCTTTTCAAGAGAGAAATTGTCTTTAGGAGAAAAAAAGAGGTTATTTCTAAAATGAAATGAAAGGGTTATTGACTTTCAAGAGAGAAAATTGTCTATAAGAGAGGAAGAGAGGTTATTTCTGAAATGAAATGAAAGGGCTCTTGTCAAATAGCCCTTTCATTTCATTTTAGAAATAAACTCTAATACATTCCTTGTTATTTAAATTGCGCCGCCCCTATTGTGTCCTCTTTTTAAAGAGCACAACAGTGCCCTCAGATTAGGCAGCAAATAGCAAAACAAACCCGTAACACTGGTCACAACATTCAATGGGATGATGCCCATATCATTGAGTTTGAAACGCACTTCTGGTCAAGAATGGTAGAAGAAGCATCTGCATAAAAAGGATGAATCCTTCACTGAATAGGGATTCTTGCTATACACTTTTACCTTTGTGTAAATAATAAAAGGTCCACGGGGGTCGTTGTTAGAAGCTTAAACTACATAAAACTCTCTCCAATTTTGCAGGGGGAGAGCCTTTGTCGGGAGTCTTTAATAATAAAAGGGATAAATCCTTCACTGAATAGGGATTCTTGCTATATGTTACCTTTATTCGCTCCAGTGATCTCGAGGCAGCAGACAGCAAGAAATAATTTGCTGTTGCCGGGAGTCTTGCATGGGGCGGAGCCCCATGAAGTTCTTGAGCTTTAAAAAAATTAATGAAATTCCAAATAGTCGTCATGAGCGATAGAAATTGTAATTTCCTCCTTGAGAGTCACATAACCCCTTTCATTTCATTTTAGAATTTAACCTCTCTTTCTCTCTTAAAGACAATTTCATATAACTTCTGTTTTCGTATTGTTGTACTTTCGTCCGCAGACTACTTAAGCACATGTCGAGCCAACTCAGTCGGAAATGTAATATGTAGGCCTAAGTGTAAAGTTAAGTTTCATGTTCTTCCTTTTTTCTTTCTTTCTTTCTTTCTCTCCCTCTCTCTGTCTCTCTCCTTTTCCTCTATCTTCTTTTTTAAAAACATTATTCTTTCTTTTCTTCTCATTTTTCTGTGTGTGACATGCGTTACGCGTACGTCTATCAATGTCTTAATATGGTAGATTTACATTTTGATGTTTCGCTTTGTAGGTGCACCTTATATTCCAGAAAGTGCCCTATTTTGATGGTGCCCCCCCCCCCCCATGTATTGATCTCGATAAAAAATAACTTTCTCATTAATTCTATTTCCAATATATCTAATACTTGCACTAATCTCCAATTAAAAAAAAAAAATCGTCTACCTTCTCTCAAGACAACATTATATAAAGGATTCATTAATGCAAGGCTATCACGCGAGTAATCTCTCAATTTCTAACTTCCTGCTTTCCTCATCTCCCAGTCTCCCTTGCTTCAATATTCCTCGTTACTTCCTTCCAATTGAACTCCAACTTAATTGATGTTATACACTGTATCTATTCTTCAACTACAGGTAGATGCAAATGTTACTCAAAATCCATTATATAAATCACACTCAGGATACAGCCAATCGACGAGAATTGCTTCAATCTATATTTTACATGTATCATTAATATATGGTTTTACAATGGCTATGGTGATGAGTTGTCTAGGTAACATGTTGATGTGTTTGTTAAAATGTATTACCATGGTGCACCTTCTTGGTTACAAAAAAAAATATATGTATGTATTAACGTAAGTTCGTGCCTTTACATATCACAGTAGAAATCAATGTTTTATATTTGATGCAGAATAATATAAATATTTGGAGATTAGAAACACAAACAGTTTCCATAACCGTTCAAGTGTTTCAAGAAAAAGTTAAGCAAACTTTCTCCTGGATGTAAATTCACACTAGCGTATAGCACTAGCGAGCTCTCTGATCCAGACTAGACTCTTCGCGAGCGGTTTCATTGGAATTTTAAGCGGTTTCATTGGAATTAATCGAGAAATTCCCTCGCTAGCGTGTAAATAAAAAATACGCCGGCCGGCCATACGTAAACGGCAGTGACGGTAACGTCAAAAAAAGAGGTTCACATAAAAGCACTCATGATAAAGCCGCGCCCGGCCCCTACAACATCATTTTGGATTTTCAGATGATGGGGCGGGTGGCAGGGGCAGGGGGCAAAGTTCGCCCCCACTCTTCAAGTACCCCCTCCAAAGGGCCACTTTTACTTTGTAAAGAAGTGCCCCTTCCCCTTTTTAACTCGGATAAGCGCACATTTCATCAACACATGTGCCCCCTTTCCTATCTGATAAGGGCTATTTAGAAAAATGAGGCCCTTCACAAATAAAAAGTGTCCCTTATCATCTCTGGTAAATGACCATTTTCATATATGAGAAGTTCATTCACTTCAGTGCGCTCTTCACCTCCGATAATTTCCCCTATTCAAATCTGAGAGATGCTCGTTTTACTTTGAAAAGTACCCCTTCCCCTCCTGATAAGTACTTTTTTCATCTATGATGGGGGCCCATTTTCACCTTTGCTAACTGCCCTTTTATTTTGAATCGTGCCCCTTTTCCTTTCTATTAAGGGACCTATCCCTTTTTCATAAATGCTCCTTTTCACCTCTGATAAATCAATTTCTGATGGATGCCCCTTTTCCGTCGACAAATGCCCATTTCCCATACTCATAAGTGCCCTATCTCATTTCTGGTGAGTGCCTCCTTTCAGGTGTCCCCTTTTATGTGTCCCCTTAACCTCTCATCATTAGGCACGTAGGCACGGGGGGGGGGCACGTGCCCCCTAACCTGCTCATCATTAGTCTTGCACCTAATTTAAAGCGACTAAGAGTAATTTCCCCTAGAGCTCGCTCGCTCGCTCGCATTTATAGATGATACAATTATATGTCACTTTAAAACAAATGTTTTTTCAGTCTTCCGTGATGCTTATAACCCCATCATGATTTGGTTTTTTCCTCTTTATAAGATGTAATTTTTCACTCTGCGACCTCACAGATCTTACATTTTTTCTCGCTCGCTTTGCTCGCTCGCAAATGAATATTCAGACAATCACACTCAGCCGAAAGTGTGATGCTTAAGCAATAACTTGTATGATATATAGAGAAAAACAAATATTGAAATCGTCCCTGATAATGGAATCACAATGAAAGGGTATATACCAATGTCTAAAAAAAATGTATATTTTCGCTTTGAGATTTCGCTTTGTAGGTGCCCTTTTTTATTGGTGCTTTCCACTTTGGAAATAGCTCCGCCGCCCCTGCTTACGCATCAGCGCCAGCGTTAATTTCACGCTTGCGCGCACAGGGGGTGTCTGTGTGCTCTGAAGCTGATTTTTTTTAAAACCTAGATTCGTGCGATTCGGTTAATACTTTTAGAGGGAGTCTGAGGGGTGATGTGCCCCCCTCTGAAGCTGACATTTTTTTGGATTTTTGAAACTGGATTCGTGCGTTTTGGTTAATACTTTTTTTGGGAGTCTGATTTGATTTCAAAACACATGCAGTTAATGCGGGATGGTGTTGCAGCCTCTCTTTCCCCGAAAATTTAAAAATTATCAATATGCATTTGTTATATCTTATCTCGTATATTTTGGTGCAAATTAACACTTTTCACAACATACATAAGCTCAAATTTCCGCTCACTCGCTTCGCTCACTCGCCAAATTATTAAACCAGGAAATAGATATTGGGGCAAAAGGCTTCAGCCCCCACTTATGGAAATGTCAAAAAAATTGCGCGCGAGCATAACTTGAAAACGGGGAATGTTGATATCGGACAAGAGATGTGACGTGAGCATGTCCCCTTTCCAAAATAATTATGCCCGTTTGTAAGTACCAGTACACTATTAAAGTACAGTGCTTCTAATATGACCTTGTCAGTATTGGTAAGTTTAAATAACGGTCTGCGCGAATTTCGAATTTCCGGCCCCCCCCCCCCCCTATTGGAAAATCCTTGATCCGCGCCTGGTTGTTAGGTAGGACAAGCCATATTGTTTGCCCTACCTAGCAACAATTAATGTATTAAACTTGCATTCTGAATATTATTGAAATACAATTATTCGTAACAGATGAATGAAATAATTGGTAATAAGGCATTTAAGTATAGATTAAGTGACATAACTAAAATTGCCTTTTGTTGTTAATTTCAGGAAAAGGGAATTTAAATTCACAATATTTAGATATTAAATATAAACCGTAAACAACCATATTTACAATCTAAGGTTTAACAAAATAGAAGGAATTAAAAAAGTGAGTACTTGGTTAATAACAGTAGTGAAATTGAATATTCTCATTTTTGTAGTGCCTGCATCCCTCTTTAAATGTCGAGTCGTATTATTGTCTCCCTTGCTGGTGAACTAATTGCCCATACCTTTTCCTAAACCAACCAACCAGCCCTGTTTTCTATTTGCTCCAAACTTACCATACCGGTAAATAATGTGTTCATTATGCCCTATACGGTTATCTACCCATGCGCAGACTGTATCTTCAAACTGGTATATTAAACCATCACGAGATTCCGGTGCAAGGTCCATCTTTCATACAGATGCGATATAGATTCATCGACCGTCCAACATTTTAGCAAAATCGATTGTACATGTTTTATCAGGATTCGGGGTTAAACTTGAATTAGAATATGATTTTGATTTTTTTTAAAAGTCTGTGCGGGAGATGATTTAATCCAAATTTAATTCTATATTAGCCTACCCGTGTTTAATACTGAAATTCGGAAATAAATCGCGTTTCACTTACACCTTACGACGTGTCCCCCTATAATTCGTATCGTATTTTATTATGTGCATGTGTGCGTATGTGTGTGACCTTTTTTTGGGGGGGGGGAGGGATCCCGCAATCCCCAGAATTCACACTCCTGCTTTCAAATTTGAGAATTTGATCACTTCATGGTAGGGATTTTTAAAAACAGGTGTTATTTCGTCAGTTCAAGCTTAGCTGATTACCACCCCCATTTTTATGTATTATTTTGTGAGACCACGTTAAAAAAATTATATATTGTGATGATGTATATGGAAAATATATAAACATCAATCAATCAGTAAACCAATCAATTGCAAAAGAGTTTGCAGTTACTTAAACAAATATTGGGTGAGAAAATCCATTATGGAGATCATTGATCAGATATATTAAAGTGATTCAATATTGAATTGAATTATTTAATTTACTGAATTCCTATCTTAACATAACAGGTACCTTATTATCGTTACAATATTTGGAATGGCTAATGAGATGAAGTTCGGAGAAACAGAATGTAGGGTGATCAACGAAACAGCAGCACGTGACTATATTGGTGATCTCAACATGACCGGGGAGAAATTGTGCGCTGAGCCAGGAAGGTAGGTTGTTCTGCAGTCAGCTAAATTTCAATCACGCGAACTACGGTAGGACTCTACCTATAAAAAGATGATTTAAAGGCCCACTGCACTACTTGTAGCTACTTGCGCCCTCTATATAACAAACAATGCCTAATCGGTGACCATTGGTCCCCCATGGTCCTCTTTTTCTTATGTTAACTGAGAGCTGAGTTGATGAGATAACCACCTGTCCAGTTACCTTGCAGGACACTCTAATCCCTCGTGTAAACTACGGCAGATAAGCTTTAAAATAAGTTATCGAGAGCAAAACTGGAAATGTGATATTTTTACCTTATCTATATATGTTCTTGATGACTATAAACGTGATGAAATATCCTAAAGCTTTGTTCAATGGAGTCAGTAAATTCAATTTAAATTCATGATGATCTCATATCACATACATAACCGACCTCTACCAAACGAAGTATACACAGCGTGTGTGCGCGTGTGTTGTGGTGTGTGTGCGTGTGTGTTTGAATCATATTAAATCATTCCAAATTTTCAGATAGTGGATTATGGATGGTTTTCGATTAGGCTCAGTAGGCCGATGAGTTACTCTGATGTATAAAATGTATTCCATGTTTAAAGCAAACCCAATACAATGCTATTTTCCGATTCCTGACTTGCATTGTTTAATCGTATATAAAAATCATATCTTTCTTATCTTTTCTTGTCGGATTCCTCTTGACTTTGAAAAGATGCTCTGAAAACAGCACGATGTTTTTACCAGATGTGTGTGGTATACAGTACACAGGGCTGGGTACACTCTATGACGTATTGGCTGGACCAATTTACCTCATCATACAAGGTGTAGCAGCAGTTCCTCTCGTAGGCTTGATTCAAAGCTTTTCTTTGAGGCCTCCATTTGCCATTGGGATAATCACCGTACTGTGGACTCTCTGTACCTTGATTACAGGCTTCGTCAAAGACTACTGGGCCGTTGCCTTGCTTCGCTTCCTCTATGGCATATTGTACGTATTAAATCCCTACATTTCAATTAACGTGTTTTTTTTTTTTTTTTTTGTTTTTGTTTTTTTACTTCATAACATTTTCAAGAACCGCATTTTTAGTAGATTTTCAGTCTCATAAGCGCCTGATTAGGCAACTATATATTGGCGCTCTACGCATTCTTGGAAAGGTAAACTTAAATACATTCGTGTAAACGCTGATTTGACGTATAAATCACGCAATATCATCATGATTAAAAAAAAAGGATGTCATCCCCTTCAGATCCGAGGAGACTGGGGATGGTATGCTCCTAGCGCTCGAATATCGCCGCTTACATATGTGACCAGATTTATCTAAATCCACGTATGAAGCATGTGCATCGACTACCAAGAGTATCCACTTGTAAAGTGGTAGGCATTATTTAATCAGACATAGAGGCATGATAGGCACTAACGGAACCATAACCCTAACCATACTGCATGTAAACCCTAACTTAAACAAAACCCTATGGTAGCATGATATGCAAATTAGCTACCTTAGGTACATTCGTTATAGTGACTATTTTTTTTTTTTACAGAAACATGCCTCTCCGATTGATTAAACATAGCCTTCCGGCTTGTAAAGTCGCTCCGTTGTTCCATTATTTCCTGTTTTATGCATCAATCTGAAGAAAAAAAGACCAGCAATACATTGATGAAAAAAAAACTATCATATAGTCTGATATTAATCACTTCATTATCTCTAATGAAAACGGTAATAGCCTATAATTTTTTTGTGGCGATTGCATCGGAGAAAATACTAACATACTGATGTCATGCCTTTTTTCTTTACACCAAGCGGCAAAAGCGGACTAACTTTAGTATAGTCCATCGTTAAATACACCGACTAAGTATGGAATACCAATTGTCCATATGAATATGTTTTTGACTAATTTAATATGTTACTAAATTAAAATAAAATGTAATAACATATTGATAAACAACAATATAACTATGATCATGGTTATTTAGGGACAGATCAAATTATTTAAAAACACATTCATATGGACACTTGGCATTCCATACTTAGTCGGCAGATTAAACCACGGACTAAAGTTACTCCGCTTTCGAGAATACCATCCTTGATATTTAACCTTGTGTTTTTTTCCTGCTTTAGCTCTGGTCCGTTCCTACCTTTAGCTCTCGGATACTTGACACACATCTTTCAAACGGTAGGATTTTGTAACCTGAATTAAATATAATATTGAATGTCTTAATTCCTTTGACCTACAATTTCAACTGTACACTGTGTTTTTCGATTATTTTGCATGGCGTCATTTGGTGTGTGTGCGTTGCATGTGTGAGAGAAAGATAGATGCATAGAGAGAGAGAGAGAGAAAGAGAGAGGGGGTGGGGAGGGAGGGAGGGGTGAATGTATCGGTGTGATTTCGTGGATTGTAAGAGCTTTTGTGTTTGGGTGGATCATACCCCCTCCTTTTATACCATCAGGAGGTGCGTTTTTGTTCTTCTTCTCAAAACAGATCCGAAAACATCTCAATATGACCACTATGAACTCGTGGTTCCTCTTTAAAACAATTAATTGTTATCGTTTAATTTCCCCTTCTTCCATTCCACCAAATTATAAACTTTGCTCAGGAGGTACACACTCTCGCCTTTGGGATAGGCCAATACGGAAACATCGCAGGATATGGAATATCTTACCTCTTCATCCTAGTGAGTGACAGCATCGGCTGGAGATGGTGTTATATTAGCTGTGGATCGGCGGGTCTCATCCTCGCCGTTGCTTCCTGTTTCATGGTAAATCCCACAGGACCTCACCATCAAGACAAGGTATGCTTAAAGGCCTTCAGTACTAGTGTATAGGAGGGATTCGACCACACTGCAAGGTCACTGAACAGGTGGTTATCTCATCAACTCAGCTCTCAATCATTAAGAAAAAGAGGATCATGGGGGACCAATGGTCACCGATTATGCATTGTTTATAGAGGGCGCAGGTAGCTATAAGTAGTGCAGTGGGGCTTTAAGATCAACGGTGATTCGCCACTGAACAATATCTTTTGTAGTAAACAAATATGACTATAGTGCCCCGTGGCCAATCGTTATGGAAAGATGGCAAAGTTACCATATCAAAGATAATGTAACTAATGCAATGTGTATATTTTCATAGACAATTGAATCTGAATTAAAGGAGTCACCCCAGAGAAAATGATTGCATGGGAATAGTTTGATGTAAATGAATACATGACTTGTATATTGTAACATTTTTTCTAAGTGCCTGAAGGTCGATTAAACCGTAACCTTACCATGGCTTCGGTCTTTTGAGCCTTCTGAATAATTGTATAGAGGTTCAAGAGATCATAAGCTTCTAACTATTTGACCAGCTGCCAGAAGGCATACGATATCGTACCCTGTGGGGTTTTTTGATTTATTTTTAAAAGGACCTAAGCAGACAAGAGATTCGGACTAATTTTAATGATTCCAAACCCACTTACATTTTCAGAAGAACACCTTAATGCCATCTTGGAAGGAACATCGCGCCAGTCTGAGACAGATAATCTGGTCTTTGATGCTTTGTATTGTCCTGGCACAAACAGCACGTATTGCAGGCATGTACGTCGTTTCCTTCAACCTCACCGTTTATTTGGCGGAGTACTTTCCAGAGTTTAATGTGATTGTGATAGGCTTGGTAACGATAGTCATAGGCTTCCCAGGCTGCATCTTCGGAGGATGGGTATGTGATCGTCTACGGAAAGTTTCTGGAATCCATGGGAGACTCTCTCTGGCACTTCTTCTCATGGTAAACAAATACAATACATAGATTAAGGTGCCATACGATTTATCACACCTCTTAACACATTTCAAAAGCTTTGTTTTGTTCAAGCAATCGCCTAACTCTCATAAAGAATTTTATGGATAGTCGGATCATTTCAATAGAGTTTTTTCCCCTCAAATCTTATTGTAACAAAACCGATAATTTGACAAACCAGAACAAAATTAAATTTCCATAGGCCTATACGCTTGTGGGTGTCTATGTTTATATGTATCTGGAGGCCGTATAATGATAATAATGACACTAACAACATAATAACAATAGGTCATTCAGTTAAAAAAGTGCTTTACAATGACGCTCTGCTGCAACATACAAAATACATGAAGAAAAAAACCTCGTTTAAACATGAAATACACACGCTAGAAAATATCAATATAAAAATAATCAGCGATGTGCATAAACAATAACATTGAGAGAGTTACAAAGGTAAAGAAAAAATAAACAAGTAATATAGAATCACAACCATGTGTTTACAACACTAATAATGATAAATCGAGGACATCGGAAAGAGTTGTTTGTTGCGGTACTTTTGGCTCTCCTTTATTAATGCTACTAGGGATTTGAATATGATGAGGGTTAAATCTTTTGGGAAAGTTTACAAGAAATATAGAGGCATTAGAAGCCCTGAAATGCAGTCAGATTGATTTGGTTGACTGAAAACACATACATTCGTCCTAGAAATGAGGTTAGCAGCATAATGTATAATTGCAAAGCATTTGATGTTCGATTTGCTTTCATAATGAACGTTCAAATACTTCAATCATTGACGATATCTCAATCGTTGTTACAATGTCCCTCCTTACAATTATAATGATCATGGTTTTCTTTTTTCAACTCCAGGTTCTCGCGTTAGTATTCGGAGTGTTGATATTCCAAACTTCCCTCACATCCCTGGTGGTTCTATACGGTCTTATGCTGTTCGTCTCTGACTGGGTCTACGTAATCATCCTCTCTGTCATCTCCGATCTTACTCCGTTGGAGTGCAAGATAGTCGTCTTTGCCATCAACTACTTCTTCAACCACTCCGTGGCGGGAGCTATCAACCTTCTCGTCACTCCGTTGGCGTCTGCGACGAGTTTCAGATCAGCGATTACACTCCTAACTGGAACACTTTTTGGGGCATGCTTCATCCTTCTCCTCCTGAGCTTCGGTTGTATGTATATAAAGAAGATAAAGTCTGGGCAGGAGGCTAATCAAAACATTGGAAAAGGAGGAGGAGCGGATGTGACTGAGAAAACTCCCCTGAAATATTCATACAACGGAGAAGATAAGGCTACATTGTGAAATACCATCAGCAAGGACGATGCACTCGCTCTTCTGTACATGGTATACTTGTCGAGATGAATGTCATATTTGTCAATATTTATCAATATTTGTTATAATAAAGACAAAGTAACACCTATATGTCGTTTACCAAGATGAAATGGGCTGATTACTATTTATAGGCAGATTAAACCTGTCGTTCTATTTGAATGAATTCTGAAATAACACACGCATTAAATATGTAATAAGAAGAATAAGAGTAGTATATGGAAGAGAGTTAGAGAGAGAGAGAGAGAAAGAAGAGAAAGAGAGAAAGAGAGAGAGAAAGAGAGAGAGAGAGGGGGGGGGGGGGGGGGGAGGTAACCTAACTGAATTTGAAAAAATAGAAATACGAAATAGGTAGTGCTGCAATCATGTAAATTCTTACAAATATGATTAAATACAAATTCTATATTCTACTTAAAACCGTTACATTTGCATGAAGACCTAATGACTACACAATATCTTATCAAGGCCTGCTAGGCCTTAGTTTTAGTATTATTTAATTCTTCAAAAGTAGTATTTTTTGGTTAGCTCTAAACGAGTAAATAATAATTGGCAGACGTTCATTTCAGTCTTAATATTACGTGCTTTGAAAGATTGGATTCAAGTCGACCTTTAACAAAATTAAGATATTTTAGATCTAGACCTTTTCAAGGAAACATCGAATCAAATACATCTCTTTCGAACAATGTGAAACGTGTTAGCTAGTTTGACTGGGGTGTTGATAAATAAGCTGACTCTCTCGATATGTTTGATTAATTAAAATCTGTTTCATGATATGAAATGTATATGGTGCAAATGAACAGGAATGTTCCAATCTTCCGATGTTTAATTACGACGCGGCGATCCACAAAATAACATCTTCTGGCGATCGTAAAATAAGCAGCTAACTTTAATTTGCCTATACACGTCTGGGAAAGGTGTCAGAACTACGAGAATTGTGTCAGAAAATACATTTTGGATGTGCATTTCCACAATTTAAAATGATTTAAACCACCCCGATGAATTCATTGACAAATGCACATTTTACTTGTCTTCAAAGGCATGTTTTCAATTATAGCTAGTGGGACACGAGATCATAATTTCCCTCTTTTCTCGAAGTTGAAAATGAGCATTAATTTATTATGTAATAAGTTATATCTAAGTGCCATATTAGTTTAAATATGTTTTCTTAAACCTGAAGTAAAGTCTTTTAAATGTTATTTTTAGTGTTTCCAGGCCAGTTTGTTCGTATCCTTCCTTAATTTCAATGCTAATGGTGATCCGGACGCTTTCCTTCATTGCGACAGGGATAAATAATGACCCGTATTCTTTTTGTAAAAGATATTGAATCACTCATGACCACACATCGGCAGTCGATATCTATTAAAGTTTTTGTGTTTTAATGCTCGAAAACATATTTTAAAAACATTGTTCGTACGTCTGAAAAATTCTAAAATATGTGGCATATGAATATCTTAACAACACCCTCGAAACAATATACATGTATACACAAGCTCTTAATCTTTGCTCAACAACTGACAACTTCTTCCCAAATCTAGACTCTCGTCAAACGATTTTTGCTGTTGAAGTGGCTGCATTAAAAACATGGATCAACACCTTATTAAAAAAATTTCCCTTTGATGATTAAACAAGAAGTTCTTTACCCTCCTTCTGCCAATGTCCTCCATTTCAATTTTTGGTTTAAAGAAAGGCCTGTTCAGATCTTTGCTTCAAAATAAAGAGACATGACATAAGCATTTGAACTGATAACGGTTAACTTTTGATGAAAGCTATATCCTTTACTCATATCAAAAAGCAAATTTATATTAAAGAAATCATTTTTTTCTGCTTGATCGCTTCGCTTCCCAGCACTTCAAACTGACGTATTCTATATACGTAACGTATACTCTTTTCCTCTCATCTTATTTCTCTGTCTCTGTCTCTCTTTCACTCACTAACTTTATCTCTATCCTCTGTCTGCCTCTGTCTCTCTCTCTCTCCCGTCTATGCACAAAGCGTTTGTTTGGTGCCAAAAGGGCGTTAACTCTGTTAAATTGATATGAGTTAACGCCTTCCTGTCTCCAATCAGACGATAATATAATTCATTTTAGTCCACCTAGTGGTCTATTGCTTGTATACATTTTTATCTTGAATGATCGGCTTTCACCAGAGGGCGTCTTTGAAAGCTTCAGTCATCGATGCATATAAACATAGTTTGGTGTATCACAGTTGAACACATAACGGCTCAAATTGCATTGTTTGTCAAACACACAACATCATAAAGTGCGTCTGCGCGTCCGACAGAAACCGAGTAGGCCACTCTTTATGAATAGTTGGCTCTGTTGATATACTTATGAAAAATGTAAAATAATTACAAATTATGCTACGAATAATGGCATCTCTATGAGTGGAATCCACTTCGCATGAATTACGTGTACTTTAAGTTATGGCACTTGAGTTTCGAAGGGAGCTGCAGTGCCCCCTAAATTCGCCAGTAGTATCACTTATTTTTGCATTAACTTGTTTTCTCTCAAACCGTTTGAAAAAAAAAACAGATCCTAGCGTTTCCGATTAAACACATAAATAGGTAAAAGATGTTTTCTGAAGAGGGTACATTTATTTACTACGTGTTGTTAGGTAGGGCAAGCCATAATGTTTGTCTTACCTAGCAAAAACTAATGTATGATTTTTTTAATATATTTTTTTTAACATTGAGTTACATTTGTTCGTAAAAGGTCAAATATATATATTTGTATCGAGGCGATTCACAAAAGCATATGCATAAATGTGGGTACATTACGCAAATGGCCTATTCCAGACCAGCCTTACCAAATGATTTCAAATGAAATATAACAACAAACATTCTTTCTCGTTAAAGTAATAATACAATCAAGTACCGACTTATGTTTTGAATGCTATTTGAACTCCTACCCCCCCCCCCAAAAAAAAGGAGCTTGATTTAGATGTTTTGAAATAAAGACCTCATGCGGAGTGCCTCTCATTGACCTTCGCCATTATGCTCAATGATCGGTCTGTAAAACTAGAGATACTCTGATAGTTGTTTTCTCTTTTAGAAAAAGATAATGGTCATCGACAGACAAAACATCACAGTTCTTTTTATCTAAATAAAAGTGCATTCGGGTTCGCTTATGACTGTCTTTCATTGCATAAATCATTACATGACAGAATACACTGTCGGTGCGAGGTATCTGGAGGTTTCGCAAATGCCGTATTAAAAAATTTCGTCTATTGGTTTGATTTCCTATCTTTCTTCTTCTTCGGAGGACAGTAAGTCCACAAGTTCGGAAATGGTTGAGCAAGAAGGGAGACAGAGTATTGGCGGACCACAACAAGGTTATGGTACCGTCAATAAAGACTCGTCGAGTATCAACTGCGTAAATGGGGCCTACGAAAGCCCGCGCTCCGTTGGCAAGAAACGGGATGGGATCAAGTGGCCGGATGGCGGAGCGCAAGCGATTTATGTCATATTCTTACTTACGCTACTAAATGCTGCAAACAAGATGGACAGGTCAGTGAATGATTGCATTTTTAACAGTTTCATCACAGAATATTGGTCATAAAAAAATTCGACTTATTTTCACTGGTTACACTTGTTGATAAATATCAGATTCAAATTGTACCCCTTCTTCTATAGGTGATTTAAACATTGATACTAGGGTTCATTTGATTTTGTTGTTTGAAATTTAGCTAATATTCATTGAAACCGTGTATTTTAATGTTGAAGCTCATATTACAATTATTTTGTAGTCACAAAAATAGACAAAAACAATGTAAAGGCATTGTAAATGTGAACATAACCGTAAAGAAAAACATTGGAGGGAATGAAGCTCTCGAGCGGTCGATTTGTTGTCCCCTACCCTCACTATAGCCTTTGAAACCGATATTCCACCAACACCGCCCTCCCCTCTTTCCACCACCCCCTCTTCCACCACCCCCTCTTTCCAATTCTTCTCCCTTTCTCACCAATTTTCCTTTTCATTTACCCCTTACTTATGTTTTGTCTTCTTTGACCCTTCTCGGTTTTTCTTCCTTTCCTTTCATACCTCCTTCTTCATTTATCTGTCCTCCTGATCTTTCTCTACCCCTGTCTCCTTCTCGATGTCAGGTACGTTTTGATCGAGGTAATCAAGGAGATGGCGGAAGATCTAGAGTTCGGGGATCGTAGCTGTTTGAATGCCACCACCCACATCGACCCCACTGCTAACGTCGAGGAAAGAGAGAAATACAGCTGTGACCCTCAGAGGTAAGTCGACGGTCATCTATCATAGCGATACACACCATCTTTGTGACTGACTGAATGCTGATGTTTATTTATCTATTCATATTTATATTGTTGCATTGGGCCTTCCTCACCATTATAATCATTTTCAAATATTACATGTATCACCTTTAATAGAAGCTACTTTCGATGTTTCTAATGTATACTGTATGCCTACTTACTTGTAAGTTTTGATTATAATTATATGTAATTATTTCTATATATGTCTTTATTTCTATTGTCTTCTACATTTGTAAAGCGCATTGGTATTACCTTCGGTAATTAAATGCGCTATATAAGAGCTAACTATTATTATTATTATTATTACATATTTAGCGGTTACCTACTCAGTGATTTTTTTTTTTTTTTTTTTGGTAAAATGAATTTATTGATAAATATATGCTTTTGAACAAATCAAACAATCATACACAATCAATTGAAATAACATCGTAGCATCTTAACATAGTTCAAATAAAACATGTTTCGTTTTCTTGAATAACAGTGTTTTCAAAAATGCATAGCTTTTTTGTTTTACAGTTCCTTTCGATCTTTAATCGGTTGTGGATTAATCTTTTGAAAATACAAAGAATAGAGACTTTATAAAACATGAGTTTGCGATTTTCTGCTTGCATAAATGTTAAATAAACTGCGTATTTTGCATATGATAAGAAAATTTAAACTTTTAAATATTTTGTTTTTTCAAGTTATAACCTTCAATTAAAACGAACTTGTCAAAAGAAAAATGAACATTGTAAAGTTTTCGAATTATGTCTCCAAATTTTAACCCAAACAATCTTGTGTGCTTGCATTTTACAAATAAATTGAGATTGTCGTGTAACTGATCATCATATAAAAAAACCTACTCAGTGATTAGTATTACTATTCAGTGGTCAAAATTCGTTATATATCTTTTGAAAGAATGAACAGGGTATTTGTTTACCTTTGATTATATTTTAAAGTGAACCGGTAACATTGTTGAGGTTGATGAAAACCTGCATGTTTTTTTGTATGAAATGCTACTTATTATATTCCTTCTACTGTACTAACCCTCTAACATGCAAACAATCCTGAAAAAAATTCTCAAACCACAAAGATATTTATGGTTTTCTTTGAAGGCGTCACTATGCGACACCCTAACAGTAAATTCTCCCAACCATTTTTGAATTTTTCCAACCGTTTTTCCATGAAAATAAGACATAAGACAGGCTTTAACAAATATTTCAACATTTAAATGTCTGGAATGGTATGTGGAGCCAATTTCATTGTTTTGTGACTATTTACATTCGCTTAAAATGTAATTAAATTGTAGTTGGGAGTATTATAAGGAATCGATCAGATCAGTTTTTCCCAATTTTGTTCTTCTTCGGGTTAAAAGATGAAAGACAGTTTCATTTTACAGCAGTCAGCAGATGTATGAAGTGACCCTGACTATAGCGAATAGATGTTTGTAGGCTTTTCATAGCACCTTCAACATTTTAACGGGAAAAGGTTGGCCATAACATTCATATAATTCGAGTTGATATATAAAGATATAAGTAGTACCTGTTCGGTGAACGTAATATATAAGTATACTTCATTTCCGCGGCCCGGTACTGAAGCTGGTTTGTGAACCCTCCTCCACCTCCGGTTGTGATATCGTCAAAATATCTTTTCTCTTTAGGTTTTAGAGTAACAGCTATTACATAGTCGATATAATTAGAATGGTTACTTTTCTCTTTAAATGCACTTTAAATACTTATTGATCAAAAATGGCATCAGGAATTATGGAATAATATTGACAACTCAATCAAACATGTAACCACTCTTAGTTCTTTCAAGTCCAAATTTAAGTTGCGTCTTCTTACCACATAATACTTCCTATGATACATACAATTACCTTATAAATTATATCGTTCTGTATTATTAACGCGTTTTAGTTTGTAATGTCCTATATACGTCTTTTGTTTTATTGTGAATTTTAATGTTTTGTATTTTACACATTTGTCATTTATGTTATGGGTCCACCCACTTCTCTCAAGCCATCGGCTATATCGGGTGTAAATGATCCAGCACAATTCTCAATGTTTATATATTGTATGTGATTTTTTATGAAATAATAAATTGAAATTGAAATTGAATTGAAAATCACAAAACTACTGCTGCTTTGTCTAATTTTGTAAATATTTTGTGAGTATGACGGTTGCTTAATCCACTTATAGATGCAAGGAGACAGAAATTGTGCGCCTCAACGGCACGGCCTTGAATGTGACGTCATGCCATTGGGTCTACTGGGGAACGGGTCTCGAGTACCAACTCCTGGCCGGTCCTGCTTTCATCGTGGTCGTGGGATTGATGAGAATCCCTCTCACCTTCGTCATGGAGCACGGTCGCATCAACGGACGGAACATCTTGGTCGGCTGCGCCATCGCCTGGAGCATGGCCACATTGCTTACGGGGTTCGCTACCCAAGTTTGGCATGTCTACGTTTGCCGTGTTCTTCTTGGTCTCTTGTGAGTAATATTGTGAAGGAGCCCCAAATAATATCAGCTCAAGCTTTCAGGGGCGGATCTACGGGGGGAGGGTTGAGGGGGTTTAACCCCCCCCCTTGGGCGGCCAAAAAATAAGTAAAACTTTTTTTAAAATCGCAATATCGGAGGCAATTTTTTTTAATGCTCACTACCCCCCCCCCCCCCCCCCCCCCCCCCCCCCCCCCCCCCCCCCCCCCCCCCCCCCTGAGCGAAATATTGGTAGGCGCGATTTTCTAATTTCGGCCCCCCCCCCTCCTCTTGGAAAATCTTGGATCCGCAACTGGGTCAACCTCCCCGCTTACCCCTTAGCAAAAACCTAGATCCGCCCCTGGCTTTGAAATAAATAGGACCATAAGATGGACTGTATGATGGGGATTCGGGTGTCTGGACACTTAACAAACATAAAGACTTCTCCTTTGCCTTCAGATTTCACAGAAAGTATTTATCAAACAGCACTAACCATTCATGGATATTGGTTCGCTACCCAAATTTGGCATGTCTAATTATAATATATTGTGGCCTTTAAAATATGAGTTCAAAGCTGGGAATGTTGATCATACGCTCAGTGATCTAATTTTGTAATTTTTTATATGTTGCATAGGTTAAACTCAAAGCATGATTCAACAAAATGTTGTCAATTATAATGATACGATTTTTCTTTCCTCAGTCAGGCCCCGTTCAGCCCCTTTTCCGTTGCCCTGGTAACAGCATACTCCCCGCCGGTAAGTGTGTTAGCAGTCTTAAAGAGAAATTAACCTCAAACAACATGTTAATTTTAGTTTGTAGGCCATTTAAAACATTACCTAAAAAATAAAAACATCATACATTAATATTTTGACGAAAGAAAGGACGTAAATCTTCTCCAGACTCCTCCGTCTTTGGCGGGTCTGAGAATTGTCAGAGTGTCGCCATTGTGTTTGCGCACGACCCGTTCTTTCATGTATCGCATGGCCAGGCGCGTCCGCATGGCGGGGGGGGGGGGGGGGGGGGGGGGGGGGGGGTTACCCCTCTCAATTTATTGAACGAAATATCGGACAGCATAATTTTCCAATTTCCGGGACAAAACAAAAATATGTGCTCTGAACTCAACACAAGACTCCAGCGTCCATCGATCAGCCAATCAGAATTCAGCTTTCAAAACTGCGCCTATAAACAGAGCACTAGCCTGTTTATGATTGGTCGAAAGTTTGAAAGTGCTTGTGAAAATTGGATTTTGAAGACTTCTCCCGCTTGCATTTGGTATTCGGTTTTGATCCACAGAGGAACTAAGGTACGGTCGAAATATGTTGAGAAATAATTATACAGAAAATTTCGAGGTTAAAATAGCCAAACTGATGTAAATGTAAACGATCAAAGACTTGATTAAGCAGAAGAATTATGATATTAATAATGTTCACATCTTTTGAGAACACAATCGCAAAGACCTTCGGAAAATCGACTCCAGGGCAATATAAATGCCTATTGTATAGTCTTTAAAAATGATGTTTGGATAACTTGGATTACAACATCATTGTAAAATACGCATACTTCAATAGTGATGGGCAAGGCTTTTGAAATTTATTGAGGTTAATTTTGGAAAGTTTTTGCGATCGTTTTTTTTCTTCTTTTTCTTAGTTTTAGTTTAACTTCACCTGTCATGGGATAATTCTTCATTTCGTCTCTTCATCTCAATCTTCATTAAGGCACACTGTCCTACTTGTAGCTACTTGCTCCCTCTATATAGAAAACTTCCCAAATCGGTGCCTGTTGGTCCCCCATGATCCTCTTTTTCTCATGTTAAATGAGAGCTGAGTTAATGAGATAGTCACCTGTCACAGTGACCTCGCTGGCTCGCTGTGTGGTCTAATCCCTTCTGGCTGAAGTAGTAAAGCCTGCCTTTAAATCTGGTTAGCTTCACAATATGCTGTTGTCGTTCCTTTCTCCGTGCTGCTTACAGCAACTGCGTGGTCTAGCCATGAGCATCTTAAACAGCGGTATCGCAATAGGATACGCCCTGGCCTACGGGTTGGGTTTCCTGAAGGAGGCGGCCGGCTGGCGGTGGGCCTACTGGGTTGCTGGCAGCCCAGGAGTGATCGTCGCTATCATTATGCTATTCACTTTGCAGAATCCCGACAAGCTCATTCAGGTATGTGTGTTTGAAAAGCTTTCCAGGCACAGACATAGGCGTATGTGACGAGGGAAGGGGGCTAGGGGTCTGCATGCCCCTCCCTCGTATTTGTAAAGTTCCAATATTCAGGCAACCACCTCATATTCAGTCATCGAGGTGCCAGAATATCCTCAATTTCGAAGACTGGGTGGGGGGGGGGGGTTGATGGGAGAATATTCATATTTGGGGACCGAGATCTCTGAATAGTTTCATATTTGGGTAGGCCGGATGTGCCCGAATTATTTATTATATATTTTCTGAAATATTTCGCCACAAACAAAATGTAAACATTTTTAGAGCAAAAATATCGAGTAGCAACTGTTTGTGAAATGAAAAGAAAAGAAAGAAAAAAAAAAAAAACCCCAGCCCTTTAACCTACAAATAGAACCTTTATAAGGTTTTGAATGTATTGATGCTTAATTCACCTTTTGTGTATGATATTATAATGGGATAATATATCTCACATAAAACTAGATTCGATGTCTTGAGTTGATAAAAAGGTAGACCAGTAAACTGGTCGATTGTCATTACACTCCTATAATATTTCTCCCATATTTTTAATTAGGAACCTCCAAGTCGACAGTGAAGGTGATTATAATCCTGACCCTTACTCAATGGTTTTGACGAAAGAAAGGTCGCGTAGTTAATGCCATCTCATAAATTTTGTACATGTTTTTTTTTTATTATCATGTTCTGTATGTATAGTTACTTATTTCCATTATCGTATTGTTATCAATAGGCTATGTTATGCTTTCAGTCAATTATTATATTATGTATATCTTATTCTGAAGTTTTATATGATATTCATTTGTACATGTATTCAAATATGGTATTCAGAGATTTATTTTCAATAAAATGGCCTGTCGGAGGGTCCAAAAAAATTATTAAAAAAAAAAAAATGTTTATCCATCTCAGAAGCAGACTTCTCAATCGTTGATCAAGATGGGGCGGTGCGAGCAGCTCATCTTCCAAAACTGGGCCACCATCGTCCCCTCATCCTCGGGTCCGCCCTCCGCTTCGGGGCGACGTACATCTTCAACTACAACATCAACAACTACCTGTTGTACTATTACCCTCACTTCCCCGTCCATAACTACCTGAGCTGGACCCCGATCCTGTCTGGTTTCGGCGGCATACTCTTCGGTGGGATTCTGAGTGATGTCGCTCGGAGGAGATACGGGGTGGAGGGCAGGATGTGTATACAGATCGTGTTATCCGTAAGCCTCTATTTTACACCTCAAGATGAAAATTTTATTTATGTGGCCCGTTACCCGGGGCAACTGGCATTAAAAAAAAAACTATTGACCGGTAAGCGGGCACGGCTAAAATCACGCCTCCAATTTCGACCAATCAGATGGCTAGATTTCTAAAGAGAGGTATATAAATGCATTATTCTGCAAGCCTATTTGTTTTAATGAAACCTTTTGAGGAAAATGGATAATTGGAAATTGACTCTGAAAAAAAAATGACGGATCGTCTGGAATTCGAATTTTTCTTTTGTGAAAAAGGCAAGTCTTTGACAAGTCTTAAATGTACTCCAATGATGATTTGAGATATGGAAACAGAGGTTATCAAAAACACTTATCAAAAAGTAGTGTGTAAAATCGTTTTGTCATAAAATTTTGATCAAAATTTCTATTCCGATAGGACATATCAATGCTTTGAATATTTGCGGATAAAATGTAGTAGCCTAGAAGCATTGATAATTTATTTTATTTTTTGACGTATCCAAAATTGAAATATTTTACCCAATTAATGTATGTAAACAAATATCATTGTGTTTAATATTCTCCACTCAGTCTGTGTAAATTTCCCTCAAAAGTTTTGGTGGCAGTCTTTTGTACAAATGAACAGCAAACATACGGAAGCTTCGATGTTTCTTTATTCTTATTAAATACTACCGCCACAATGTATTCTGTACTTCTATTAGGTAATCTGCGCCCCTGTCATGACATTGATCTTCTTCCTCGAGCCCCCTGCCGTCTTCGCCGCCGCAGCCGTCGGGACCTCGATTGCCGACGCGTGGACTGGAGGCACCGTCTCCACACTCACCGAGCTCATCCCACCGGGTCTCCGGCCGTCCTTCTTTGCCGTCTACTACTGTCTCATCAACACCGTCGGCGGGACGCTCAACATCACCCTGCCGGCGCTGCGGCGGGCAATGCACTTCCGGTACGCTATGATCATGGCGGTGATAGGGCTGATCTCGCTCGGGACCGTCCTCTTTACGTTGGGTTTCTTCGCGATGGTGTGCTCCCGACGACGACGACGACGGTACCGCGGCGATGAGAACGAGAACGAGACGGAGGATGAAAACTCCAATGAAACCATAACCCCTCCACTGAATTAAGGCTATACATGATTATACAATCAAACTTGTCGGCCCGAATTCACAAAGGAGGTTTGTCGACAAACCTTGGTTTTCGTACGTCATATGACGCGTTTTACGCGTTTTTTACAAACCTGGTTTGTAAAGAACAAAAGGAGGTTTGGCGAAACAAAAGAAGGTTTGAGCTCAAACCTTGCTTTGTGAATTCGGGCCGTCATATTTAAAGGCCACCTGTCTATAGTGGTCACTTTGTGTTGTCACCCTCTAGAAAAAAAGAAAAAGATTCATAGAATCTGTCTAGAAAGGCCACCTGATTATTAATTCATGTATACCCATGACCCTAATTAATGTAAGTGGTAAGACCTCTCTTTTAAGACCACCTGTCTATAGTGGTCGAGTAACTCTAAATTGTTTAATTTATCAAGAAATACACAATGTACGTGTTGTATAAACCCATCTATAAATAACAATAATCTTTTAATGGTCCACTCTAAATTTTATTTTATTTAAATTAAACCGAAAATGGAAATTCTTTTTGCCCAATTGATTGTGAGCCCGGCAGCCACTGAGCAGCGCCAGATCGACGTTGCTCTATCCCTTTATTGTTGAGCGCCAAACAAGGTAGCAGCAACTCCCGTCTTTTGGTATGACGCGGCCGGGGTTCGAACCCACGACCTCCCGGTTGTGAGGCGGACACTCTACTGACTGAGCCAACACACCGGTATAAAAGCAACATAAAGCAACATATAGCGCCATTTCGTCTTTTTCATGTGGAAGGTCTTTATAGACAGGTTTGATTGTATCCTTCACTTAATTCTCAGACCTAAATTTATTAAAAGCTTTATTACATTTTATTATTTTGTTCATTTATTTGTTTTTATTACTATCGCTATTACTGTTTTTATTATTACTATCGGTATTACTGTTTTTATTATTACTATCGGTATTACTGTTTTTATTATTACTATCGGTATTACTGTTTTTATTATTACTATCGGTATTACTGTTTTTATTATTACTATCGGTATTACTGTTTTTTATTATTATTATAATCATTATTATTTTAAATTATTATAATCGTTAATATCATTAATATAATTATTGCTATTATTAATATTACAATTAATATTATCATTTTTTTTAATCATCATGTTTCGTTACTATTTTCATTCGTTAATCATGGCTCATAAAAATATCAAATTAATCCTGCTAATTGAGGTTATTATTCAAAATGCAATCATGGTAGTGTGTGCATGGACTTATAAGTAGATACCTCGATCTAACACCTTACAAAACCGAAAGCTCTCTGCAATATATACATATGACTCATCTGAAAAACAAGGATATTGGTTTATTTCCACTTGCAAAAATATGTCCAAGTATAAAAAAAAATAGTTTATAGCAGTTCACTGACCAAAGTGCACATTCTAGGATAGTTTTGATGGTTGTTACTGAATAGAAATGGTTCGTTTTTTAATAAATACTATTTTCATTGCAAACTCTGAATTGAAATCTATACATTTTGCAAATGATATGACACTGCTTATAAACAAAATCATATCGCACTTTGCAAGCAATGCCTGCTTTAAATACTATGAAAGGATTATCACTGCCTGTGTTTCGATAGCTAATGTGAATCTATATAGTTAACAACTAAATTATTCATACGCCTTCTAAGTGTTTGTTGGAGTTTTTGTAACTTAAGAAAGAAAGGTGGACAGGTTGAATCAGGGCTATTATTGAATACTTTTAGATGTATGTACATTCTCAAGAAACATAAATCAGGAAAAATTCGAAAATTCAAAAAACTTGGTAAGGGTATGAATAATTAAGTTGTTGACTGCCTGTAAATTGCAAAGTTTCAATGCAAAGTTGTTTTTTTGCACATCTTGCATTATGTAATTTACTTGTAACCATAATTGTTGTGAATTGTCTGTATGGAAGTATTTCCATGATGTATGATGAAGATATTAAAATACATGTCATGAATCTGCTGGACAGCACATTATTATCATTAATCATATCTTGATATTCTCCTTTTCAAACTAGTCCTCGTTTTCCCGCAAAATGTTGCAATTGTATTCATGTATAACATGTGTACAAGTTGAAAAGCTAACCAGACTTCCAATCACTAAAAATCATATTGTTTAAAGCCTGTCTGCACTAGTTTGGCCAGGGGGATTAGACCTCCCTGCAAGGTCACTGACGGGTGGTTATCTCATCAAATCAGCTCTCAATTAACATTAGAAAAAGAGGATCATGGGGGACCAACAGGCACCAATTAGGCACTGTTTGCTATATAGAGGGCGTAAGTAGCTATAAGTGGTATAGTGGGGCTTTAAGAAACTTGTGTAGATCTAAGAATTAAATCTATCGAATCTATCAAATCAAGAAAAGGGTAGCAAATAAATCTGGTTGAATTGCCTGTAATAATGATATCTGTGCGAATAAGACCTTCTTCATCATCAATAGTGATCTGTCAGTTTATGACAGGTTCAGTGACCCATTCAAAATTCTATATCAAGTGTCTCTCCAAGTTTCTCTCCAAGTTCCTTGGTCTTGAGCCAACCGTTTCATCGTTTCATACCCTGTTGCTCCACATTGTGTGGACCTTCTTACTTTTCTTTAAACTTAGCCTCTAGTGAAATAAAATGAATTTGAAAAATGTATTTAATTAATCATAATTGTCATTACAATGGAAGTATTACATCATTCATGTGCACATAAAAAATGTAATTTCATATGAAAATCTCAAATGTTTTATTCCCGACACTATATGATAGTCCAAATGAAAAAAAATCTTGAAAAAAATCTTAAAAAATAAGATAAATTGTTCTGTTTTCTGTCTTGTGAACTTTTTCAAAGTATTATCCAGTGATGTAGTTAAAGCTGGCAGCTTAGATTAACAAGGCCGCTTCCATAGGTTTAATATATACACAATAAGGACTTTTAGATTTGCGTGGACTAATACGTGTGACGTCCATTCAAGGCAGTGCATTAAAAGGACGTCGATCGTAGCAATCCCCATTGTCTTCGTGCGAATCTAAAAGTCCCTAGTATGACCTTGAGGATGGACTTGACAACAGCATCGCTATTCGGTTCAAAACCAAGTCGGTGCGCTAGTGCCCTTTGGTAAGGTATTAATCATCATTACCGAGTCCCTTGGCATACACGTTTTTTGGATGTCGGGTAAAACAAAACAAAATCAAATCTGTCCAAGGCCAAGGCCACTAAAACATGAACTTAAAGGTACTATGTCCCTTTTGCAGCCAACCTCAAATTCTGTAGAACTTTGCAGGAATTATAAATATGTCATGTATGTCCTATCTGTGAAATTTAAACGTTAGCAGTGTCCTCATATTCAAATTATGCAAGGAAACCCGTTTACTTGCTAGACTTCACTGTCAGACACTATTGAGTGACTGACTGGCTTTTTTTCTTCTTTGGTAATAACATACATGAAAAGAGTTGTAAAGGGTACATGAGCATTTTTCTACATCAATAACCCACTTCTTGTGATGGCCAAGATTAAACTGATTGAATATCTGTGCAGCATAAAACGTATGACCATTCGGTCCGATTGTCTGAAAATCAAGACTATTACTTTTGGGCTCTAAAGCCCTAAAGTCGATTTGACAACTAATAGTCGTTATTTTCCCACTTGAAGACATTTTCAAGCCCCACCTTTTTTTAGGGAAGTTCTAAATTAGTATTATCTTTCAAATGCAGTTGGAATTTAACTTTTCATTTTTTTGGCCTGCAAATGGGACATAGTACCTTTAAAGATGGACTTGGAAACAGCACCATTATTATCTAAACATTAAGTTGAGTCACATGAAATGTCACATGTTAGATTGAATTTGTATGCAAAGTTTGCTCCTGCTGAAAGCAAGAAAAACTAAGCTATTGTTAAAAATGCATATCGTAATTGTGTCATTGGAAAAAGAAAAAGAAAAATAACAAATCAGCTAGCAATCTGCTACACTTGCTCGGTAATTATTTCCTAAACAAAAACTTTTTCCTAATCTCAACCCTGGAGCCAAACCTAAAACCTAAAACTCAATAGGAAACCTTGCCCTGACCCTGTGTTTTTGACGATATAAAGCTTGGAGAAAGAAAAAAAATCACATTGATATTTAAACTGTGACTGACAACCAAAAAGAACACTCTTATATCAATATGTTTTCTGTTTCCTCTATGAAGCTTTTATTCCACACACAAACTGGAAGTCATTTCCTTTTTTGTTGAATGGAATGTTCTGGTGTGTCTGTCAGAAATAAATACAATGATGAAATAAGTGATGATCGTTTACTCTCAAAATGATTGTTTACCCTTAAAATGGTTATTCCTCAAAAAAATTGGGGCACAATATACAAAGTACCAAACAAAGGTGAAAAGTTTCATTTGCCACAATATTGATGAGGCCATTTTCTTCCATAAAAGGTTCAGGGAAGTAGAATTTCAGCAACTGATCAGCATAGTTTTACACCACATGCTCCTACGATGATTGCTTCACAGTTATTTCCTACACTCATCAATTTCCTATCTTCAACCCTGAAAACCAACGTTATACCTAACCCCAATCCTAATCTTAAATCTAACCTGAAACCCGACTACAACCTAACCTTAACCATTTACTTTTTAGGAAATAAAATCTGGAGCAATTGTCGCCAAAGCAAGTGTTGGATCGGTAATCAGCATATGACCATGATGACCATTACATGACCCTTACAAGTCCATCACATGACTATTGCATGACATCACATGACCATTACATGACATCACATGACCATCCTTGAAATATACACCTGGCATTAGGCCTAGATGCAGGTTTCATTTCTCTAAGATGAGTAAATACAACGCATAATAAATTACTCTTGTTAAATGCTGAACTGAAGCGGGTTGGCTTATAAAGTCTCTTAGCCTCTTCACAAATTTATTTTTCTAGCTATCGAAGTGTTTTAAATTACTTGTGTTTGTTGACCTGAAGTTGGTTGTTTTCAAAAGTCGGTTAGGCTCTTAACACATACATGCCAACATTTGAAAATCAGAAATCTGTACAAATTATGCTATTTAAAAAAAAAAGAGGAACAATCCTAACTCTCCTATTCAATACTACAGACAAATTTGTACAGGAAGAGGAACACCTGCATTAAAATGATAATTATCTTCTCCCAAAAAGAGGAATGTTCCTCTTTAATCTGAACAGTTGGCATGTATGTTAACAGAATAAAAAAGTTCAGAAAATATATGACTGAAAGTGGAAGTTCATTTTCCTGGTATCTTTTATTATTAAGACATTTGTTTGATGTGCAATGCTTACAAATCTTGAGGGCTATATTTAGATTATGTTTAAACTATGTTTAAATTATGTTTAGATAATGTCACAATAACAAGCATGACCAATGTTGGTCTTGCAATGTCACCGTTCTCATGTTACCCCCAAAACGTGGCTTTAGAAGATTATTAAAAAACTTCTCCAATATAATGTTGATTTGAAAACACTTGCCATCTCAGCCTCTGACCCAGTTGATTTGTTTTAGAATCCATCAATGGCATCTGAAATATGAACACTATTGTGATATTTGTCCAATATAAAAGTGGCTAGAAATAATGTCACTTGACCCAGTCATTGTATTGAATCCATCATGATAATAAAACATGTAATGACTGTCCTAATTCTGTCTCGTGATCAACTCATGCTTTCACCTTTGACCTATGACATATAGGCAAGTCATGTAATCCATTTGAAGTATTGCATTCACCATGACAACAGCAAAGCAAAAAATAACTGTTCTGACCCTGTCTTGTTGACCCACTCATGCTTTCACCTTTGACCTTGGATAATAATGTTTCGTGACCCAAACAGAGTATTGAATCCATCATTATTACAGCTAGCAGAAAATGACTGTCCTAATGCTCTCTCTTGATCAACTCATGCTTTCACCTTTGACCTCCGACCTCTGAGGTTCTGACGACCTCTCATTGGCAGATAGGATGTCCCTCACCCGTCCCACAATGCTCTGCATCAGCTCATAGGTATGGCATGCTGACTTCATTACCTATGCAAATGAATAGACGTAACTCATGGATAATCAGTTGTGTTACAACTAAAACACTGTACCTTTACACAAGCATGTATTTCCAACAACATCATGTAATAACAATACATATATATATATATATATATATATATATATATAAATGATATTCTAATATTTACAATGTTTATACAAAGCACTTTACAGATAGCTTGTTATGTAACATATATCTTGTGTAGCATATATGTAGCAATTATATAGCATACCTTGTCATTTCCTATTTCACATTATACAGATATTGACTGGCAGGGGTTGAAAAATAACATTCTTTGGACCGCTGAAGGGAGTTATAATTTTCCAAGTGGTTATATTTTCCGAAGCTGCAGCACTGAGGGAAAATATAACTCTCTTCAGGTCCGAAGAATGTTATATACCGGTACCCCCTGCCAGTCAATATCTGTTATATTAGATAGCACTATGAACATCACGGACAAAGAAAGCGGACAAAATATACAGTTCCTCAGGTAGACAAAGGAACATCCCTTCACTGCTATTATGTAAAAAGGTGAATATGCATGTGACACCTGTTCTACACATTTTTACATAATAGCAGTGAAGGAATGATCCTTTGTCTAACTGAGGAACTGTATATTTTGTCCGCTTTCTTTGTCAGTCATGTTCATAGTGTAGCCTTGGTTTGAAAATTAAGGTGGAGGGGTCCATTTTTTGTTGCCCAATATTTTTCCTTTTTTTTCGGAGACAAAAAAAAAAACTGAAAAAAATGCTTAGAGATAATTCGGGAAAAAGCAATATCTTTAAAAATAATTAAAAAAAAAAAAGCATTTTGGGGGAAAAGGACAAGGGGGAAAAAAAATGACCCTTGTTATTGGTGTAATTTGTGTAATTGGTGACATCCAGTCCTCAAAAGGGAGTCATGCATTAAAAAATATATTCATTTCACCAGTTGGTTAATATAACACTGGAAAGTGACCGTCCAGGAAAATATAACAATTACGACCACATCGCAATTTATATCACGTGACGAGCTCTGGACCAATCACATCTCGGTATCTGTCTAAGCTATCTAATGTTAAAAAAACATTTATCTCTTACGGTGATGGAATAATTAATATGAATAGATCAAAATTCATTCATTCAGGGGAGATACCGGGTTCTGCCAGAACACTATCCAAAAAATTATATGTGCCCAACCAGCTCAATCTCAAGCCTATTGAGAATTCTTAAATGAATGAATGTACGACACTTGCTCCAGTCAACTTACGACACTTACCAAATTTCAAACTTCAATCCTAGACTAACCATAACCCACATAAACTACACTCTAACTACAACTCTAACCCAAATCTTATAACTTTGACAAAACAAAACCCTTAACCATCGTCACTGGAGCATATGTCGGAGTGTCCTCTCATCAGCAGTGATTATGAAAGGAGTAATTGGAGCATAGTACTTACATAATAATAATAGCTCACATTTACTATGCACCTATTACTTTGTTTCTAGGCGCAGCACATATTATTTCCCCGGTCATCGGATTCAGGCTTACCCGCAACTCAATGTATGCACATTTTCCACTCTCTGGGGAGCATTCCAGCCAGTCGCCATTTTACAAGCGCCTCTTGCTAATCCAACCAAATTAACTTTTGCATCCTACCAGGTACCCATTTAACACTTGGGATGAGAGTGGCAAATGTAGATCAATGTCTTGCCAAAGGACATTAGTGCCGCGCCAGGACTTGAACCGCAGACCTTGTGAACCACAACTCCAGTGACATATCCACTTGACCACGACACTTCTACTTACATGCATTTGCTGAGATGGGGGCATGACTGGGAGTTGATGACCAGCCACGGTCATAGTGGAAGTAGGAACGGCGGCTGATTTATCTGGAATCAAAGAGGTGAATGAAAATAACTCAAATAAACGATGAAGATATAAAACTTTTTTTTTTAAAGAGTAAAACGGGGAACCAGAGTAGGTGATTTAAATATTTTGGTGCAAGTACATGAACAAACAAAAAAAGAAACTTGGGAAAGAATCATCTATTTCTATGTCCATTAAGCAAACTTCTACTTAGATCTAATGATGACTTACACAAAATAATGTCTGGCAAAATGACTTGCTGAAATGTTTATACTACCAAGAGACAATAGCCTAATAATGTGCTTTCTGTAAAGTTCTCCTCAGTAAAAGAGATTAAAGTGGTATAAATAGGGGTTCATAAAGCCCAGGTTTTTACCAGAACGAAGGGGTTGATAAATTAGTCTTACCCCTTCCAGTTTATGTTCATTAGTAAGAGCAGCAATCCTAGATCGGTTGCATGCCCTGGGGGGTGTTTCACAAAGATCCTAAGTCAAACTTAACTCATAAGTTGGACTTAAAAATTATGGAGAGCCATCAGTAACCTTAAAATAAAAATATATTCAAAAGCGAAAATTCAAGGATTTTAAAGGTAATACAAAGTTTTGGTATGGGGTCGTGAATTTGGTTCAAATGAACATATTGGAAGCATATGCGACCCTACAATATTCACTGATCGTTGTCGCGGTCGAAATCGCCTCTAAAGTTATGAAATTGTAAATAATAAACACTTTATGTTGTATAGCTCCCTCTCAATGTCAATATATTAATTAAGCTATAAAACAATGTTTCTTGACCAAAACCGACCGATTAGCTATTCCCGTTTGGAAATTATATATCACACCTACATTATACTGAGAGTTTCATGGTCGCAGTTACCATTGTACGGCCGCATGCGCTATTTGAAATTTATCAAAATTTACCGGGAGCACCGGTAAATTGTTATATTCCAATTTTCTCAAAAGCAGAAGTATTTTAGGGTCTAAATTTTTTAGAGCTTATAATACATCCACAGGGGCATCCAAATATATCAAAATTGTAAAGAATCACTATCCAGCCAATTTTCATAATTTCCCAAAACTTTGTATTACCTTTAAACTTTATATAAATTCCACATCAAGAACATAAAATCTCCTTGATAATAAAAAATATGAATGATTTGAATCAACATATTATGCCTTTTAAAATAACTTTAACAAAATATTTTCATAGATGCTAACAGCCCTCCATAATTGTTAAGTCCAACTTAGAGATAAGTTCAACATAGGATCTTTGTGAAACACCCCCCTCGATAGGAGGGTTAGTAACGCCCAACTTTACACTGATACAAATGGGGGATTGCAACTTACTCTTTCCTCGAGCCTTGTGTTCATTGACAACGGCCGTCATCCTGGCCTGGTAGTGCGCCATGGATAGTTTGATACCGGTGTGAAGGGGTGCGATGAAGCCCTGCTCGATGTGAGGTATGTGAGACCAGATACCGGTCTCGTTCACACTCACCAGGTCCCTCAGGAGGAGGAATCGTAGACAGTTGAGAGCGGCCATCACCCTGCAAACAAAACCAAGGAGGATACAGGGGCGATAGTGAGCACGACAAAAAAAAAAAGTAGGTTTTTTTTTCTTTCCTCAGCCACCCCCCCACCCCTTAGGTTAAAGAAAAGAAGGTTTTTTTGGGAAAAAAAATAGCATCTAACATCATTCCCCCCCTTTTGAGTAAGAAAACTGGGGAAAAATAGGAACAAATCTGGAATATCGGGGGAAAAACATGAATTGGGACAACAAAAATAATCAGGTTATTATCAGGTCTGAGGATATTTACCCAAAATGAATACCCTCTAGAATGTTGGGTACAAGCTATGAGCAGTTTGTGCCTATGGAAGATATCTTTTTTTTAAACCATGAAACACCCCTGTTCAATTGAAAATCTGACTACTGAAAGTGTTATATTTGAAAGCCATCACCCTGCAAAACTAAGTAGGCGATTACCCCAAAATGAATACCCTCTAAAATGTTGGGTACAAGCTATGTGCAGTTAGTGCCTATGGAAGATATCTTTTTTTTAAACCATGAAACACGAATGTACAATTGAAAGTCTGACTACTGAAAGTGTAATATTTGAAGGCCAGTAGTGAACTTAGTGGCATGGTATGGGTTATCAAACAGAGGTAAATGATAGAGGGCCTAGAAAGAGAGAACAACCATTGCAAGTATTTGACTAGTAGTTCAACCATATCACTTTCCTTTTTCACAATTTTCTTTTCTTACTATTTGTTCTCACTTTCTTTTTATATCTGTTACTAATATTTGAATCATTCCTCAACATTCCAGTCCCATATTTTTTTATTTTTTTTTCTCCCAAATTATTTTTTATAATTTTTTAGTTATTTGTTCACCGTTCTTTACAAGATGTAGTACTTACTTGTCTGATAATTCAAGCATGTCACTCTCTGCCCCATTGGGTAATGAAAAAATGAGAGAGAAGAGATCCCCTAACCGCTGACCAACAAACCATTCATTATCATGGTGCTACAGGATGAAAACATTGGTGAAAAGAGAGAAATAATCTATTGAGTATCACAGTATGTTTTCCCAGCTCCGACTCTGAGGTCGATTGCAACATTCAATAGGTTACCATGGCATTGTTTCAAGAGTTTCTGTTTAAAGAGAAGGTTGAGTTCTTGGAAGAGGTGAAAAATAATTTGTGAGCGTTATCATTCTTATTATGCAAGTGTGGAAAAACATCAGATAAGACATGTTCCCTGAAAAGCATGGCTCTTCAAATGCCTTCATACTCTAAATATGTCATGTAACATCTTGCAATGCACACATATTCTTATATGCTAGATGATCAACCTTTTCTGGTCGATTCCGCACCATTTCTTTCACAATGCAATCGCATGACCAGAACTCAACTTCATCTTTAAAGGGACTTTGTAACATTGTTTAGATGAGAGAAAGTGGTGCTATGGTAGTGAATTCAATGCTAGATGTACAATTAAAGATAATCTGAAAGTTTGAGTGAAAGCGGACCATTATTAATGATATAAATTGGAAAAAAATGATCTGATCGATTCCTTAATTCCCTCAACTATATCATTATGATTTAATTACATTTTAGGTGAATGTATATCGTCAAAAAGCATGAATTGGCTCTTTACACCATTCCAGACATTTTAGTGTTGAAAGATTTTTTAAAAGCCTGTTTTTTGTCTTTTTTTCATGGAAAAACAGTGGGGAAAATTTAAAAATGGTTGGGAGAATCTACTGTTAATCACTGTTAGAGGGTGTTGCACAGTGACACCTTCAAAGAAAACCATAGATATCTTTGTGGTTTGAGAATTTTTTCAGGATGTTTTGCGTGTTAGAGGGTATGTACAGTAGAGGAAATATGATAAGTAACATTTCATACAAAAATTATGCAATTCTTTCGTCAACTTTCAACAATATTACCGGGTCACTTTAATGGCAAAACAAAAATACTAGGTAATGTAAAGATGAGAGAGATGATGAAAGTGGCATCATCAAATCTTTAATAGTCCAAGCTTTACAGCTCACTCTTGTCATATTTTGAATATGACAGTATATGAATTGTGTTCCTTTTCAGCGAAAACTTCTTCTGAGATATTCTTCCAAACTTATAACAGCAATGAGAGCACTATCAAACTAATTATTTTACCTTTTCCAGAACTCATCATTCTCCTTAAAGGCTGTATGTACTAGTATGGCTAGAAAGGATTAGACCACCCAGGGTGGTCACTGACAGGTGGTTATCTCATCAAATCAGCTCTCAATTAACATAAGTAAAAGAGGATCATGTGGGACCAATGGTAGCCGACTATATGGAGGGAGCAAGTAGCTACAAGTAGTACAGTGTGGCTTTAAAACCCAATTGTAACCTTTACCCTTATCCTATATCTATGATGAAATAAGGCCTGTTGCAAATGTTGCTGCAGCTAAAACTGCCTCATCTTATGCTTACCTGTAATGTGTGATGGACATTATCTTTAACCATACCAATGACCATTCCGCAGACACCTGAGTGGACCGTGTTCTTCAGCAGTAGCTGTAGCAGCCTGTAGCGCCCCTTCCAGTCAAATTTACGAATGTATACGGAGAAGACTCTAAGTGCTGCTTGCCTCTGAAAATACAACAGGAATCATTTGTGTCTGAATTTCATTCTCATTTTCTGATTTTGTAAGTGATCCCTCATCATCAAAGTTAAAAACTATTAAGCCATTATAACTTCTATATGGAAAGTTTTTGTTTTGTTTTGTAAGTATACTTTAATGTTTGTGGCAGAGTCAAGGATCATGATGGACAATTTCTTTCTTTCTTTCTAAAACATCTGAACTAATAATGTCAGTTATTTTTGACTTCTAAGAAAGTCTATGATTGCAACAGTCTATCAAGTTTTACACTCAGTAAGCAAGTAATCGGTACAAATGACTGCGACCAATAACATTTAAAATAAATATATTTAACAAAATTAGGAAAAAAAGACCTGAGGGATCATGAAACAACAAATGTTAGACAATCAAATCTTAGACCATTGAAAATATGAAACATATACGGTACACATCTATATACAATGTGAGCAAATAACTTTACAGGTACACATAACTACACGTAAATAATTCATGTCAAAACTGAGGTACATTTCCGAATTGATGATCAACTCAAGAAATATCATTATTCTTCCACATATTTAGTAGGGCAATGTACCCAAGATTGCCTTCAAGTGTACCAATCACCTTAAAAAAATAATATGTGTAAAATCACCTTTAAAAAATAATATGTGTAAAATCACCTTAAAAAAATAATATGTGTAAAATCAACTAAGAAAAACTTCCCCTATGAAGAAAATAAAGAACATAAAACAGAGCACCTAGAACCCAACTTTGGCACCGTATGGGTCCTATTTCACACAAGCATCAAAGGTAACTTAGTCTACCCACAATTCACTTTCATGTTAATTGAGAGTACCGGTATATTCAATTTTGCAATTTTTGATTTAAAACCAAAAAGTGTACTTACAATGGTGTTGAGAGGACTCATCACCATGACAACGGATAACATTTGTGGGAGGTCTTCATAGAACGTGTTGTCAAGGAGTCTGTGATGTAGTGCTGCATCCTCAATTCCATCTACCAGCAAGGACAGTAAGTACTGTAAAGGAGAGATGGTAGACGATAAGGAAGGATTTAGAGAGCGAAAGGAATTGATGAAGAAGTTTGCAGAGGTGTGATGATAGATTAATAGTTTGTTCTTTCATAGAGTATTTCAGGACTGCAGGCCCTCTCAAAGCGCTTCAAGATTCAAGATTTTATTGTCCATGTATAATACAGAAATTTGTTTTCCATTGGTGTAACATGTAATATGCAAAACATAAGACAAAAACATGGTGTCGTGTGCTGAAAGCCAGAAGGGCGTCAAGACTCTATAAAGAAAAAGTCTATGAGCAGGTACGGTCCTCCGGCTTTCAGCACAAAGCATGACAAGACAGTTATATGACTTATACATAGCAGGAATTTTAAATACAATTCTGAATCACATCATGAATAAATTCAGGTATGAATATAGATGTGAATATGAAAGTTATATTATTACCCCAGTCATCAGATTCAAACTTACCCGCAAATTATGTACGCATATTCTTCTCTCCCTGAGGAGCATTCCAGCCAGGCATCATTTTTACAAGCGCACACTTTCTCATCTAACCACATTAACTTTCGCATCTTCCCAGGTACCCATTTTACACCTGGGTGGAGAGTGGCAAATGTAGATCAATGTCTTGCCAAAGGACATTAGTGCTGCAGCAGGACTTGAACTGCGGACCTTTTGATCCATAGTCCAGTGACATTTCCACTCGACCACGACACCTGAAGTCCTCTACACAGTATAGTGATTCAGTCACTAGACTTTTTCTTAATTGAGTCTAGAGAGGATTGGAATCCCAGTAGGCACTAGCATCCTTTGGCAAGACATTAATCCACATTTTCCACTCCCCATCATGATGTAAATGGGTACCTGATATGCTGGAGGGTTACATATCACAGAACCCGAACCACCCATTATGGGGATCGCGCATTTGTGTATGTTGCACTAGTCCTCTGGAACAAGCTGCCAAGTGACATTCAAAACATTCAATGTCTAGAAACCTTTCAGAAATATGTTACAAGGATTTTTTTTTACTCAGAGTTACTTATGATATTATGTTGTTAAAATACTTGAGAGAGATTTACGTATTTTGTGTAGTATAGCGTAAGGTATTAGATAAGTGCGCTTTATAAGTACCGGTATTTAATATTATTATTATTATTATTTGGCAGCTCGATTATCCTGTGTGCTATAACAAAAAAGCCAACAGTATTATCATTATTTTTTATGACAGAAGTAAAATATTCCAACTATGAAAGGGGAAATCTTGAAGGTAATAAGACACAGATGGCACAAGAACTTACAAATATAACCAATTTTACATGTACATCTTGAATCCGACATCAAGAAAAAGCTTGCTCAAAGTTGCTTGACACAGTATCAACAAATTACCACAGGGTTCCCAGAACAAACATCACATGATCACAGAATATTAATAAAAGAAAGTAATCAGGTGGTGCATTTCACAAAGATCCTATTCGTCGAACTTAACTCTAAGTTAGACTTAAACATTATGGAGAGCCATTTGTAGCCTTAAAATAAAATATAGTCAAAAGAAAAAATTGAAGTATTTAAGACTTTTCATAAATTCCACATCAAGAACATGAAATCTCCTTGATAAAACAAAATATGAATGATTTGAATCAACATTTTATGCCTTTTGAAATAATTTTTACAAAATATGTTCAAAGATGCTAACGGCTTTCTATAATTGTTAAGTCCAACTTAGAGTAAAGTTCGCCTTAGGATCTTTGTGAAACACCCCCCTGGTCTCTCAATCTGAAAATGTTCTCTTGACTAGTCTTGCAAGTACTCACCAAGCCTTTGAGGACGGGTTCCTCTTCTGGTCTCCTTAGCAAGGCTGCAATGTACACACTAGTGAGTTGTAGCAGATATTCAGAGCTGCAATGAAAACATTCAATAGATAGGAAAGACTAGTACTGTGCTGTGATCTGGGAGGTGTTTCACAAAGACTAAGATTAAATCAAGTTGGACTATGGCAGGCCTATAATGCCACTGGTTACTCTCACTGTTCGTCTCTCAAGGGATGTGCAGAATCATGGTCACACATCTACAGAATTGACAATTTTTGAGAGTTCATTGTTGAAGAAGAAAAACATTTACTCAAATTCAAGTTCTACTTAAAGGGGAAGTCCAACCTGAAACCTGATCACAGCATTCAAGTGCGTGCTACATACACGAAACCGAAGTGTGAGGAGAACTTCAGTCTGCTTCCCAAATGCTGACCGTGTAGAGTACCATTAATCAAGTCCATTCGTTTACATGCAGTAGTCCAAAAGAAGACCTAGATGGCGTTAACCAGTATTTGCCAAGTTACACCCCCTTTAAAACTAGTTTAATATTAGGGTGGACTTTTCCTTTAAGACTTGGACTTATATCATTATATTATCTCTTCTACCTTATCATAGACAAAGTATCCAAGACCTCGAGCAGCATGTTATTTGACTTCAAACAAACGCATGAGTGTTGATTTCCTTGCACTAGGTGATTCTTACCTGTAGACATTTGGTAGTCTGTCCTCTCTGAGCTCTTCTACCTTGACTAGATAGACAAAGCAACCCAGACCTAGAACAGGAAGTCCCTTGATGTCTCCCGGACCCAGGTCCTCCTCACCTAGATCATCAGCCTCCGATGAGGGCGCTATAGGCAGATTGAATTCTTTACCGTAGCACAAGAGTTGGTTGAAGCTGAATTGCAGCCTAGAGAGGTATGTCTGTCAATACAAACAAAATAAATCATAATTTGGTGTAATTATTTAGTATTTCAATGCAGGGCTCTGCATTGAGATTGTCTTAGACTTGCACTGTAGAAAAAATGATTCTCAAAATAATTGACTTGCTCTAAACTTTTTTTAAAGGATATGTTCCATCCACATTAAACTGATCACAATAATAATAATAATCTGGAGTTATTTACCGTCTCCAAGTGCTTAAAATATTATTACTCTGGTCATTGGATTAATTCCAGCACAATGTGCACCATCTCCATTCCCTGGGCAGTATTCCTACCATATGGTCACTGTGAGGGCATATGGCAATTACTAATACAAAGGTTTTTTTGGTCATCCTACCAGGTCCCCATTTCTCTCCTGGGTATAAAGTGGCAGATGTAGACTAATGCCTTGCCAAAAGATATTAGTGCCCACGACAAGTCAAGTGACAGAGTTGAGACTGTGGCGGTAAACTGCTGGTTCCATCAGTTTTTTCCGTCATTTATTAATTGAATAATACGTACATAAGAAACACAAAATTATCTTGATTACAAAGAAAAGCACATGAATTATACTTATATCACAAAATTAATTATACTTTTTTTAAAACATAATCAACATTTTTTTCCAGAGGTGATACTTTTCAACATTTGCCCTCCATAATATTTCTAAATAAATGTTGAATTTGTTTGTAAAAGGAGAACCACTTTACCATTGCTTGTTCTGCACACAATCTGAAATCTGTTTTATATCTTGGTTTGTCCGAGTCTTCTTCTGTCTCTTTCCATGCCAGGTCTGTCCTCGCCAACGGGTAGTCCAGTATTCTGATCAAGCTGGAGAAGAAATAATAATAATAGCTCAAATTTATAGTGCACCTAATACTTTGTTTCTAGGCGCAGCACATATTATTACCCCGGCCATTGGATTCAGGCTTACCCGTAACACAATGTATGCACATTTTCCACTCCCTGGGGAGCATTCCAGCCAGTCGCCATTTTACAATCACCACTTGTAAAGTAAGTCAAGATAAAACGGGTGTTTTTCACTGTCATTGTCTGATTTATTTCAATGATCTTTCTATGGCAGTCATTATCATCATCATCACCATCATCATCATCATCATCCTCATCATCATCATCATCATCATCATCATCACCATCATCCTCATCATCATCATCATCATCATCACCATCATCATCCTCATCATCATTCAAACAAACATCGATAACAGTTGAGAGAATTAAGAGGTGGACATTTAATAACAAACGTAATTGAAGGGCTTAGAAACCTTTCAATAGTAAGCACAAACTATATAGATGCCAATTCTATTATTTTATGAATTATCGTAAATTGCATGTATCATATACTCACAATTTTGCAATTTCAATCTTGGAGTTTTCCACCTCTATTCTTTCCTGTCAAATTAATAAAGAAACATGACAAGGTGTTAGAATATCTGTCAAGTAATATTTTTTAGGCTTTAGGGTATCAGATATCAAACAGTAAATAATAATTATAAATATATAAATTATAAATGTAGCCAATCTAATTGGTCAAATGACACCATGTGACCATGCATCATTCTTTCCTACCTTGAATACAATCAAAAAGTGACAATTAACCCATGGCTTAAAGTTATTACGTTAAACCCTAGCAAGTACAAACTCAAGACGTGATGAAAGGCATGTACATGTACATGAAGTTTCAAATGGCAAGGATATTGATGTGCACACTGAGAGGCTAAGTACATGTACACTGTTTGGTTGTGCATATATACTGTGATGTCAATCAAGGCCCCCTACTTTACTCGTTTGACCCTCTCCGGGGGTGAAGGGCAGTCCCCGCAGGAAAGAAACACATTGTTTTCCAGAATAATAATAATAATAATAATAATAGTGGGTTCTTGTATAGCGCTCATGTCTGTCAGATTTGACACCCCTAGCGATCCCGATTACGCTCTAGCATTTCAAGGAATGGTACCCATTTAAATCACCTGGGTCAAGTGTGGCAAATGTAGATCAATGTCCTGCCAAAGGACATTAGTGCCGCGGCGGGACTCGAACCGCATACCTTGTGATCGACAGTCCGGTGACATATCCACTCGACCAAGACACCTCTACAATACCAACAACCTATCTTCATCTCACCAGTTTTGAAAGTTCTTTAACATTGCCATACAGCATTTGCTCTACTTGGAAGACGAAAGGAGCCAAGAATTCCAGAACAGCTATGGTGTTCCTTCCGAGCTTGTGGACGCCCGGATCCTCCAGTAGTAGACGTCTCTGTTTCTCATCTAAGCCCTCACTGCTGGGAAACTGTATATCGTGTGGATTAGGAAATTTAATTTAAAGAAGCAATTACATTTGAAAACATTTTTCTCATATAATAATAATATATTCCGTGTTTATATAGCGCTCAATACATCGATCCAACGACTTGCCTAAGCGCTTTACAGATATATTATTACCCCGGTCATCGGATTCAGGCTTACCCACACACAATGTATGCACATTTTCCACTCCCTGGGGAGCATTCCAGCCAGTCGCCATTTTACAAGCGCACACTTGCTCTTCCAACCACATGAACTTTCGTATCCTAACGGGTACCCATTTAACACCTGGGTGGAGAGTGGCAAGTGCAGGTAAATATCTTGCCAAAGGATATACTGTTCAATATTGTTGAATGGTTTGTTTGTTTGTTTTATAGTTCCACATTCCACATAACAAGGATGTCTCATACGTCAGATTTAACAAGAGAATGCATAAATAAACTAGATGGAATTCGACTGCGCGCAGTCGAAAATGATGCCTCCGTCATAGAGCAATTTTACAAACCAAAACAGAAGAAATTTTTCAAATTCAAGTTCAATTGTAATCCATTAACAGGTTCTCAGAATATCGTGATTACAAACAATTTCTCATATACATATATGACCCTTTGAACTTTGACCTCATGATCCTAATATCTACTCAGCTCATTGGCTCTGCAAGATATCCAGAGTTAAATAGTAATCCATCTGTCAGTTCTAATGAGAATGCGTTCACAAGCTATTTTTGCATACATAATGAGCCCATGACCTTGGACCTTATGAACCAAGAATCTACACAGTTCATTGGCTCTGCAAGATACATAAATGATCTAAGTTTGGCAGGAATCCATCAATCTGTTCTAATGATAACGCGATCACAAGCTGTTTTTGCATACATAATGGGCGCTGTGACCTTTGACCTTTGTCCTCGTTACCCAAAATCTAATAAGTTCATCGGCTCTGCAAGTAACATACATGACCTAAGTTTGGCAGGAATCCATCAATCGGTTCTTGAGATAACGCGATCACAAGCTGTTTTTGCATACATAATGAGCCCTGTGACCTTTGACCTTTGACCTCGTGACCCCAAAATCTAATCAGTTCATTGGCTCTGCAAGATACATACATGACCAAAGTTTGGCAGGAATCCATCTATCGGTTCTTCAGATAACGCGATCACGAGCCGTTTTGCATACATAATGAGCCCTGTGACCTTTGACCTTTGACCTCGTGACCCCAAAATCTAATCAGTTCATCGACTTTACAAGATACATACATGACCAAAGTTTGGCAGGAATCCATCCATCGGTTCTTCAGATAACGCGATCACGAGCTGTTTTTGCATACATAATGAGCCCTGTGACCTTTGACCTTTGACCTCGTGACCCCAAAATCTAATCAGTTCATCGACTTTGCTAGATACATATATGACCAAAGTTTGGTAGGAATCCATTGATCCGTTCTTCAGATAACGTGATCACGAGAACGGGACGTACGTACAGACGTACGTACAGACGTACGGACGGACGGACGGACGGACGGACGGACGGACAACCCGAAAACATAATGCCTCCGGCTACTTCGTAACGGAGGCATAAAAACAACGATAGACATAAACATAGAGAAATAATAAAGTGAAATATGGGGAACTTATTCAAAAGCAACGCTTATACATCATGTTTCCAAATTTGTTTTTAACAAGACATACAAACTAATTACAAATGATTTGACTTTTCTTATTTAATCATGTTGATTGATAAGCCTGAGAATCTGAGAAAACTTTGGATGAAACTCATGTGACATTTAAATTAACATTACACAAAAACAAAGACATATTGGTTTAAAATTTGCCTGTTATTGTTACCTCATGTTCTCAAAATTTGCATACAATGTGAATTCTTTTTAACACCTGGGTGGAGAGTAGCAAGTGCAGGTTAATATCTTGCCAAAGGATATCAGTGCCGTGTCAGGATTCGAACCCTTGACCGTCACATCTCCAGTCAAGAGCCATAAACCACTCGGCCACGCCACTCCCACATACAGTTGCTCACAAATTTTAGAGTGTTTTTAAACTATCCCTTTAACTACCAGTTATGTGAACGCACAAAAAAAGAATAAGCAAGACAGTGTTGCCATACAAAAAAAAAAAATCTGTAATGAAAATCAATCTTGTCGCAATGAAGCTTTTATTTCAGATGTAACCCATTCCCCCTGTATCATGCGATTGATTCCAGATCTAATAATAATAATAATAGGCATTTATATAGTGCCATCTATCTAGACAATTCTATTCTAAGGCGCACAAGAAAAATTAAAAGAATGAGAGAGTTTAGATGAGTGTCATAGTGCCAAGTACAGGTATTGTTAAAAAAAGATAAGATTTCATCTTGGACTAAAGGTCTCTAAGGAAGTTATGATTCTCAAATTAAATGGTAAATTATTCCGAAGAGTGGGAATGATTTATGATTTATTTTGTGTATTACACATGAACTCAGAGAGACCGGACACTAGTACTGGATGATGCCTTACCTTTGCAGTCTGTAGATGGGTGTGTAGCAGAATAAACGACTGATTCATCTGATGACTCTTGGTGAGGCCAAATCGCATCAAAACTGAAAGGAAGAAGTTTCAAGATGAATTTTATTCACAATAGCTAATCAAAGCATCGAGTACTAACTACTATTAAAGCCTAAGACAACTTGGGCTAGCATTTAAGGAAATATAGTATCCATACCATTGTGTTAAAGGGATCCGGTAACTTTGTCTCAGATTCTAAAACAAATCCTGGATTTAGCTCATGCTTCAATGATAATTGTAAACCTTAAGGTCAATCTGGAACCCCATGACTTTTACAAGCCGATCGCCTGTCTGATTATCAAGATATTTATGATTGGAATTACAAATTTTGAAAACCGTTTGCTCAACGGTTTTCATAACACTACAGTTTATTGGGGAAAAAGAGTACGGTAAAACCGGTCATTCAAATATTTTTACTTTCTTGAGGCACTTGATTTGATTTGATTTGATTTATTTATTTTCCACTCAAATATCCACAAATTAAATGACATATATAAACCATACAGTAATACAATATATAATAGAACAAATGAATTATACAAGTAACGAAAAACTGACAAGTATGTTCGTAATCAAATAAGTTTACAAAGTACATTTATGTTTGAGAATTAAACAACATATTTTAAATTGCTTGATTTAACTGAGAGGGGAAAAAAGGGAATCTCAGAAAAGCTAGGCTTGTTGAGCGAGATTCCCAGTATAAATTAAATAATGGACCATCATCAACGTGCATCAAATTCTACACATGTCCGCTCCCAGAGAGACCAGAGACGCACGAGCCCACTCGCCCGCGCCAGATCCCCGGGTCCCCCCCGCCAAGGCCCATCTAGCGTACAACAGTCTGCCGTTGCCAGGTCGAGCAAGCTCAAGGTCTGTCCGACCTAGCAACGAGCAACATAAAATATTGCGCACCGAACAGGCCCCGACAAAAGAAACACAAAGATCCGGCATAGGCAGCCGAACCCGCGCGTCCGGAGACTCTCCGGGAACAACACGCGAAAACCGGACACACGCCTAAGATGGTCCAATAGTATTTTGTACAAGCGTATAATGAACGATAGAAAAATAAAATAGATGACAATAAAAGAAAAGAAAAGAAAAGAAAAAAAGAAGCATGTGATGAAACACAAAAAAGGATGAGAAGGATGGGAAGGTAAGAGTAGTGCCACGTAATCGGAAGTCTATTTGTATTTCTTTAGAGAGGAAAGAAAGAAATTCACTGGGAGGGGTCGGAAGGCAATAGTAAGAAGGCCAGATAAAAAAAGAAAGCACTTCCGTGCTTAGTGATAGATTTGCGTACTAAAGTTTGTTTGTGCATAACTAATTTATTGTGCGCAGGTTAACGACTTAGGGTTGTATTGCTGGAGCTGAGTGTGACTTCAACAAAGTGAACTTAAGGTATTTCTTGAAGCAAAATATACTTGAGTGTTGTTGTAGGGAGGCTTCAAGCGTATTCCAGTACATTGGTCCAGTATATACAATTGTTTTTTGTGAGAAGACTGTTCGGGTTAAAGGAAGATGATATTGGTTACGACGTCTGGTAGGGTATGTGTGTATATGTGCATTAGTTGTAAATAATTTTGTAAGAGCGCTGGGGACTTGTTTGGATGTTAGTTGAAACATGAATGTTCCTAGGTGGAATGAAAATAAGTCGTGTATGTTAAGGATTTTGTTTTCAACAAATAAATGTTCCGTATGGGAAAAGAATGTTTCATTATTTATTATTCTCACTACTCGTTTTTGTAATAAGAAAATTCTGTTTGTATGGATTTTTCGTGCGTTTCCCCACGCAAGAATACCGTAATTTAAATAGGGAAGAATGAGGGTAGAGTAGAGGGTCAATAAAATACGGGAAGGCAGGCAAAACTTTAGTTTGTTGATCACCCCTATGTTTCGAGATAAAATTTTACACATATTATCAATATGTTTTTTCCATGTTAATTTGTTATCTATGGATAACCCGAGGAATTTCGTGCAATCAACACAAACTAATTTTGTATTATTAAAAAGGATATCGCCAGGTAATTGGGTAATTGTGTTACTAAAAAGCATGAAATTAGTTTTCCCTACATTAAGTGATAATTTATTTGCTTGGATCCAGTCGTTCACATGATGTAATTCTTTATTTATAGTATCTAAGAGAGTGTGAGGGTCACGATGTGAGTAGAAAATGTTAGAGTCATCGGCAAAAAGGATAAAGGATAAGATATCAGAGGAATTTTTGAAATCATTTATGTATATAAGGAAAAGAAGGGGACCAAGGAGAGAACCTTGAGGGACCCCACACTGTAACGCTTTTGAGGTTGATACAGAATTATCAATGGAAACAAACTGAGTTCGGTTTGAAAGGTAGTTCCTGAACCACTCCAAGGCCCTGCCTCGTACACCGTAGTGTGATAGCTTGTAGAGAAGTATTTTATGATTGACCGTGTCGAAGGCCTTGGAGAGGTCCAGGAAGATTCCAACTGTATGGGAGAAATTATCTATTGCTTTAGCGACTTTGTCTATAAATAAGAGCATAGCATGTGTTGTCGTATGTTTTTTACGAAAACCAAATTGTGAATTACTAAACAGATCACAGTCGTCAAAGAATTTTAACACACGGGTATAGACAATCTTTTCCATTATTTTTGAAAAGGGGGTTAATAAAGATATTGGTCTATAATTACCTTGTTCTCGTTTATCACCTTTTTTAAAAACTGGAACAACTTTAGCTATTTTCATTTTTGAAGGGAAAGTGCCACAAACTAGTGATAAATTAAATATATATGTTAAAGGTTTGGCAATGTGTTCACTTACATGTCTTAAAAGACTATTTGATATACCATCATATCCAGCACTTTTTTTGTTTTTAAGGTTATTAATTATATCCAATACTTCTGTCTCTTGCACTGGAACTAAGAATATAGATTGTGGGTTAGGGTCCTTTAAGAAGGAATGAAAAGGTCTCCTTGAATTGGGAATTTTACTGGCAAGGTTTGGGCCAATGTTTGTAAAGTAATTGTTCAGATTTTCCGCAATTTCTAAAGGATCTTGAGTAACAGAGACACCAGTGTTAATTTCTTGGACTGGAGATTTGATGTTATTTTTGTTTAGAGCAGTGTTTATCAGTTTCCATGTGTTATTCATGTCTTTTTTGTGGACTTCAAATTGATTAAAGAAGTATTCTTTTTTGGCAAGACGGAGAGTGGTTGTTAAAGTGTTCCTATAATTGATGTATTTTTGTTTGTTGTGATCCGTTGGAGTTGCTTTATATTTATAGAAGAGTCGATTTTTCCGATTTATACAGCGTAAAAGGAGCATAGTAATCCATGGAGCGTGCGGGATTTTTTTGTAGCTAGCACGTGCTGAGCGACTTTGTAAAGGGATATCTCTGTCATAACAATGAGTGAATATGCGAAGAAATAATTCAAAAGCCTCATTTACATCACTTTTATTTAATACGTCTAGCCAATCCATCAAACTTAGACTGTGCTTGAGCCTGTTCATATTATCTTCGGAGTGTTTGCGAAAATGTGTGCTTTGATTGTGTGAAGAATTCGTGGTGTCTAAAATGGGTAGGAAAGAAAAAACAGGAAAATGGTCGCTGATATCAGCTATTATGATACCAGAACAAGAGTTCATTGATATATTTGAGTAGATGTTATCGATGAGTGAGGCAGAAGAGTCAGTAACACGTGTAGGTTTGTTAATGAGAGGCAGGAATGATTGCGTTAACATTGTGTCGAGAAAATTTTGGCATTGCGGATTATGGTCTGCATTCAGCAGGTTTATATTAAAATCTCCCAAAATAAAACAATTTTTATTTTGAAGTTTTTTGGAAGAAAGTACAGTATTCAAGGATGTTACAAATTCTTCGTAATTTGAGTTGGGAGGTCTGTAAACAACTCCAGCAATAATGTTCTTTTTTTGGGTAATTTAATTTCAATAAAGACGGACTCGAGAGCATCTGTCGTATAATTAAATTGCGGAATTATATCAAAGTTAAAATGATTGGAGATATACATCGCTACACCTCCGCCAATCTTATTTCGTCTGTTTTGATTAATTAGTTTATATTCATGTATGTTATAATAGGAGTGAGGGTCATTACGCAACCATGTCTCTGTTAAGCCTATCACTGAAAATGGAGAATGCTGGGTATTTACAAGTTGGTGTAGCTGGTCAAAATTTTTACTTAAGCTTCTGATATTAACATTCAGTATCGAAAACTCATTTTCTTTCGTACATCTGATAGTATTAAATTGATTAACAGTAAAATATTTCGACGAGGATAATTTGGTAACAGAGTCATTTGGATCAATATGAAACAAGTACTCCGATGAATTATTATTGAGTTTATCGGCATTTTTAGTTTCGAATTCTTCAGAACTTCTCGTAGGCGGATCGTCTGTATAAATACGGGGGAGGTTAAAACCTGGATTTGTGTTTGAACTGGTAACGTTAATGAGGAAGTCGTCATTCTGCACAAAATAAAAGGGTAGCATGCTCATATCAGCCATGGATATAGATTGAAGTCAGGTATTGTTTGTCGGCACGATTAAAGTATATTATGCGGTGAATGGCAATTTGGTGCGTGGCTCTTGCACAAAAAGTAATGGGAAAAGATGAATGGAAGAAGAAAAATGTGATGAACATGGAAGAAAACACAGATTTACAACAAAAACGAAAAGGAGAAAGTAGATAACAGAGGTAAAAAATATACAAATGGTGGAGATACATGATATGGCGAGTGACTACAACCCTCAATTATTCGGTTACGGTTTATAGAGCAGTTTAAAGGTATCAAGCTAGGTATCACAGATCTGGAAAATGATTATCTGTTGTTTCGATTTCCAATATCCCATATGCATTAGATGACCTAGTTATGACACTGGTTTAACATAAACAAGTCGATACGAAGAAGCAAATACATTTCTACTCTTATTTATTCCCAATAGACATTTTAATGATAGTCTGTCTTGTGACAGAATAAGACTCATAAACAATAGTAGCCGCACTACAAGTTGAGAGATCTCTTTCACAATGCACCCGAATTCACGCATGTCTGCTAACAGAATGCACTCAGACATGTAAATTAAATCAAATTAAATCACCTGTTGCTGGCTCCGTTATTCCTCCTCAAAGCCCCCTTCCCCCCTCGCCTCCCCCCGCATGCTCTAGCTTACATTACAGGTTGCTAGGTCGATCAAGTCTGAAGCTTGTCCGACGTAGCAGCAGCCAGTATATGCAACGTAAAACCCAACAATGGAAACACAAAGACCAGGCACAGGTGAGCTATGGCTATAACGATCTACATTTTAGAAGGCTCTCCGGGAACAAACACACATACATGTAGACCCGAGTACATCATGACAAGGCCATCCTGAATAAATTACAGATGAACGTGTCTTACATAATATTATGTTGTTACGTTTCTATCATGAAATCAGCAAGAGTTCCAGCCTGCTAATGTGAGACACTTGGCTGCCGGTCGACAGGCGCGAAAACATCACGCTTATCTGTTTTTAGAATAACAATGTGTGGATGGAAATTTTTCAGGCAAGGAATGAAATCTTCACACCTGTTCCTTAAACACAAAATGTTTTTCTTTTTTTTTCTTTTTTTTTTCTTTTTCTTGAAGTCATGTAAAATTCAAAGGTAATGGAAAACTTTTTGACGGCATCATTTAAAATTCAGAATGTTTAACATCTTCAGATCATACACATTAATGTTTAACTGGCGAACAGTTTCGTCCTAAAATATGTCGCCAAATGTTCTATACTGTATGCAGTTATGTATTTACTGCAAAAAAACAAGCAAAATATTATCTAGTATAGCTTTCAATAGGAAAAAAAATAAGAAAAACAAAGGAGATAATTTTCACGTATACATACAATATCCACAACAGGAGTTCGCTTTATTTCCAAAGCCTTGGATAATTCAAAGATATAATCATTAGAGAACATTTACCACTTTGACATTTTTAGTGATCAGTCGAAGATGAAAATTAACTAGGAAATGTTTCCAATGACGTTTACGTGATATGCATAGGTAATATGACCCCTATAATATGACGTCAAATGATCTATACTGAAGGCAGTTATGTATTTACTGCAAAATAGCAAGCCGAATATTTCTAGTATTAGCTTTCAATTGGATAAACAAACCAAAAAAAACAAGTGAAAGAGATCATTTTCACTTACATACAATATCCACAACGGGAGTTTGCTTAATTTCCAAAGCCTTGGATAATTCAAAGATATAATCATAAGAGAACATTTACCACTTTGACATTTTTAGTGATCCGTCGAAGATGAAAATTAACTAGGAAATGTTTCCAATGACGTTTACGTGATATGCATGGGTAATAAAGACCCCTATAATATGACGTCAATGATCTATATTGAAAGCTGTTATGTATTAACTGCAAAAAAAGCTAGCAATATATTTTCTAGTAGCCTTCAATTGGAAGAAAGAAACAAAAACATGAAAGAGATGATCTTCGTTTTCATACAATATCAACGCAATAAACAAGGATTCGCTTTATTTCCAAAGCCTTGGACAATTTTAAAGTTATACTCATAAGAGAATATTTACAACTTTGACATTTTTAGTGATTACTCGAGGATGAAAAATGGACTTCAGTCGAAATGTTTCCAACTACGTTTAAGTAGTATGCGTGGGTAATTTTACCTCTATAATACGACGCAAATAATCTTTACTGAAAGCAGTTATGTATTTACTGCAAAAAAGCAAGCAATATATTTTCTAGTAGCTTTCCATTTGAAGAAAAAAAAAATGAGATAAAACTTGTTTTCATACAATATCCACAAACAAGAGTTTAACTTATTTTCCAAGGCCTTGGACAATTTCAAAGTTATGATCATAAGATAACATCTACCACTTTGACATTTTTAGTGATCACTCGAAGATGAAAAAAGGACTTCAAAAAGTTTCCAATTACGTTTACGTAATGTGCTTGGGTAATGGCCCCGAAAAATATGACGCAAAATGATCTATTCTGAAAGCAATTATATATTTACTGCAGAAAAAAAGCAAGCAATATATTTTCTAGTAGCTTCCAATTGGGGGAAAAAAGGAAAGTTATAATTTTCATTTACATACAATATCCACAATCAAGAGTTCGCTTTACATTCCAGAGCCTTGGACAATTTCAATGTTATAATCATAAGAGAATATTTACCACTTTGACAGGATTAGGTTTCTTTCCAGGCGTTCCAGATTCCATCCTTGGATTTTCGCGTTTGCAAAATGACTTTGGTATTGATGACTTTGATGCGCGTCATGAGATGTTTGTCACGTCGTAAATCGAACGCGATACCGGAGAGGCGACCACGTTCTCGTTTTAGCATCGGTGGGAGGTCCGTTCTGACGGTGATTTTGCTCTTTTGCTTGTCGGAGTCGCTTGCTCTCTGGGTCCCATCGGGTTGTCTTGGGCGGGGTTTCTCAAAGGCGTGTAGGATTCTTTCCCTGTCACGCATCCTCGCGAATCTGACGATCAATGGGTTGGGGCTTTCGTCGTCGGGTTTATGATGACGCGGGGCAGGCAAACGATGAGCGTTGACGAGTGGAATCTGCGTGGATTCTTCCAATTGAATGCCTAGAAGACCAGAGAAAACCGTGGCAGCTACCGTATACGCGTTTTCTTCCCGGACTTGCTTAGCTCCATAAATCAGTAGATTGAGCTTGCGGTCGTGAATCTCTTGGAGGGTCAATTTTTCTGCTAACTCCTGGACCAGCTTGTGATACTCCACTACCATCTTCGGGATCGCTTTTTCCTCGATGTCAGACACTCTGCGAGTTGTGTCGTCCATGGCGGTCTCCAGGTCAGCAACTTTCACCTTTGTAGTAGCAAGCTCATTTCTGAAGTCACTGATATCACTTAATACTTTATCAAGCTTCTTATTTATTACCACATTCGCTTCGCACACCGCTACCTTAACTGTCGAGGATATTGACTCTAGAATTGAACTCACGTCAGCGGAGGGGTCAGCCTTGCTTGGTGGCGCTTGCAGACAAGTGGGGGACACAATAGATGACGTATGGCGATGCGTTGCTGCTATGTCGGGCGTAAGATAAGATGACTCGATGGGATCGGAGTAGGCTTCGGGGCGGGAAGCGGCAGGCTTGGTTCTGGCCGCATTCGGTGTGGTTAGATCCATCTTGGGCATGTTGGGCGAGCCTGACAAATGCTCACCTTTTTTGCCACTTTTTGCTCGCAAGTTGTAATTTTTTTGTGTGGCTTCTTGTTGAGGTCGTTGAGAAGACAACTTTCGTGCTTGCATTTTTTCGGTTTGCTTGTTTTTAGCGAGGGTTGGTCAAAAGCGAGAGAGAGCTAGAGCGTGCTCATTACTCCGTCGCCGCCATCTTAGTCTCCACTTCTTGATCATTTTGAAGCGCAATTTTTTTAGGGCTTCAATATTACCCAATATCACGGACACTGATAACACGTAGGACCGTGCTTCTTAGATTTAACTTTATTGAACAATGCCTTTAAAGCCATATCACCCTTTTGGAAAATTCACAATACAGAGGCTATTTTCAATTTACAGTGGACTTTTGAGACAAACCTCTCCCTTAGCCACAACTCCCCCCCCCCCCCCCCCCCCTGCATTTGCCAGATGAGAACACCTTTGGAGCTACTACATAACACAAGGGTTTTCAGACAAAAATACAAAGGGTAACTTCTCCAGGAAAAAGAGCAACCACAAAGGTAATGAATAAATTCATGCACGCTTTCAACCTGCAAAGTTGGTTTAGTCCTCACAACAACCCTGTTAGATGCAGCGAGGCCACATTTCAGTCGGTTTGAACCTTGACCTTGAAAACCTTGGTAGGTCCTTTCAGCAGCTCCTAACAGCTATCCCATAATGATGATATGCTGTACTCAGAGTGAACTGAGGTGCCACAGTGAAGTAAGTAATTTCATTATCACATAATGTGTGAGCATACACAGTGGGAGCGATTGTGCCTCTTGTGTTTTAAAGCACATAGTAGTGGGCTCTCATGGGGAATTCCGAAACATTCGGTGTTTACCTAATAATGGAGGTACCACGGCACCACTGGTTTGCTGAGTGCGAGACTTGTACACCCATCAACGGTATTTCCACCAAGTCTGATGTCAGCGAATAATGACCTACTGCACACGGAAACTGACGACCATCTCCTTTTACAGCATGTGAGACCCAACAGAGCGGGACCAAAGATAAATAAAGTCTGCCAGGAAGCCTGACACCCCCAGCCCCTGTCTACTCTCCCGCTGATACCACCTCCCTGTTTACTTACCTGTTGAGAGTGGTTTAAGGAGTATTCTGTAGGTGCCATCGTCAAGGAAACGATCAAGCTGCTCTAGATAACCCAAGATCATCTCTTTAGGTTTCCCAATCTACAGAGAGGAAAGACAGAGAGAGAGAGAGCGGGAGAGAGGAGAGCAAGAGAGATAAATTAAGAGAGAAAGAGATAGAGAGAGAGGAAAGAGAGAGAGAGATAGGGAGGAGAAGGTGGAGAGGCAAGAGAGGGGAAAGAGGGAGAGAGAAAGGGATAGAGAGAGAGCAAGAGGACAGAGAGAGAGAGAGAGAAAGGGAGAGAGGGAGAGCAAGAGAAATTAATTAAGAGAGAAAGGGATAGAGAGAGACAGAGAGAGAGATAGATTAAGAAAGAAAAAGAGAAATAGGGATAAAATCATGTAGTTTATTTTTTACTCTCATCTAAATACAGACAAACTTTAGGATTATGACATTATATACATGTATTGCTCTAATAGCTCACAACACTTTAATCACCAATGTACCATTACATTATTCCTCACTCAAGAAACAAGTATTTTGTTAGTTTACACTTTGATTCTTTGGAGTGACGGATGTTTCTTCTTGATACAAAATTTTATTCAAAATTTGAAAAAAATCCCCTAGAGAAAAAGCAAATTGGGGGTTGCTTTCGTCCGGAGATCACTATTAATAGTTTTTATTGCCGAAATAAAGAGAGGCAGCACATTAGGTGATGCGTCAAAAATATCGATACCAGCAGGCTGCCGCCTCACGTATTGGCGCATCGAGGCTGCAATTACGGCCGAAGCCTGGCTGGGGCAATTATTTTTCACTTATTAGCCCAGCCGGCTTGCGCCAGGCTGGGATCTGAGGCTCGGTTTCCATTCGAAAGGCGGCAGCCGGCGCATGCTTTTGAATGCCATTTCCTACCGCCAGCGGTAGCCGGCTGAGCTAATTTAAAAAATGCAGCCAGGACGCACAAGTGCAGTTAGCTGCCGCTGGCTGGTATATTTATTTTTGACGCCTCGCCTTACTACATACCTCTGCCAAGTCATTGAGTATCTGTGCCGAGTCCTTGTAAACATCGTTGTTTGTCTCAGTGTCACTGACATGTGGGGTGATTATCGGCAGGAGGTCCCAAGCTACTGTCTCCACCAGAGCCTGAGTATGAAGGTCAAAGTTCAAATGCATGGTACATTTATAAATACAGGTCGATGCATCCTCATCATCTCCATCATTATCACCATCATCTTCATCAATCATTAGCCTCCTCCTCCTCCTCCTCTTCATCATCACCGCTATCATCACCACCATCACCATTACCATCATCATCATCAATCATTAGCCTCCTCCTTGTCATCATCAAAATCATCCTTAGGATACTTACAACAGTATTTTTATAAAACATAATAAGCGTGATACAGCACCTTTGTAGAATATGTGTGATTCTGCCTAGAATACTAAGTGACCCAAAATCGCTTGCACTATAATGAATGGCTTTTTTTTGTTAACCCTTACTGTGAAACATATTCTAAACTAAAGAGATGATTGGTAATACAAAATCAAAGACTAGAATTGAAGAGAGGAAGACATACTGAAGCCAAAACGAGACAAGCAACTAAAGACAAAAGAATCAGTATGTCTCCCTTCAATGCAACGTCCCTTCTTCAATCAATGGAATGCCTCTTCTGCCATATTAAAGGTAGAGATCAGTTCTGGTCATGCAATTGTTTTGTGAAATAAACGGTCAGAAAAGGTTGATCGTCTAGCATATAAGTATTGGTGTGTACTGCAAGGTTCTAGAATTATCAAAATGAAATTTGGCCCAGTCTTGGTAAAGTTACAATAATAGATATAATAATCTACCAAATATATCAATTAGTAGGCAGTTTCCCGGCAAAATTTGTATCATCACCTATTAGTCAAAACATATTCTTTCACATGATTGGTAATAAGAGCTTCCATTTCATTTTTGAGAGGGGTGCATTTCCAAAACTGGTCTTTACCTTGAAACAATGAAACAAACAGTGTAAAGACTCCACACAATCAACACAAGAAAGGCTATTTATGAATCTTTTCAACTATCTTGTGATAAAGATGAGGCTAAGATACAGGCCCATTGAGGTCCCATTAAGAACATTGGCATCATTTTACGAAACCATCATAAGGACAAGATCACCAATATCCCATCGAAACACATGTGAATTTCACACGTGTTTCAATGGGTTGTCAGCAAACTTGCACTTCTGACGTTTTTGTGAGACGCTACCCTGTTGCCTGTACAGCCAAACCTGGGGGGTGTTTCACAAAGATCCTAAGTTGAACTGATCTCTAAGTTGGACTTAAAGGTAAAGACCAGTTATGGTCAAGCGATTGCATTGTGAAAGAAACGTTGGGGAATCGATCAGAAAAGGTTGATCATCTAGCATCTAGCATCTGCAAGGTTCTGGAATCATCAAAATGATAAGAAATTTGGCCCATTCTTCGTAAAGTTACAAGCACTATACACAAAAAGATGTATATGGGACTACCCTATATCTCTCACAAACCATGAGAGAAACAAATTTACCAAATATATGAATTAGTAGGCGGTTTCCCGGCAAATTTTTTATCATTATGTATTAGTCAAAACATATTCTTTCACATGATTGGTAATGAAAGATTCCATTTCATTTTTTGAAATTGGGGCGTTTCCAATACTGGTCTTTACCTTTAACATTTATGGAAAGCCGTTAGCATCTATGAAAATATTTTTCACAAGTTATTTTAAAAGGCATAAAATGTTGATTCCTATCATTCATATTTTCTATTATCAAGGTGATTTCATGTTCTTGACGTGGAGTTTATAAAAAGTCAAAAATACTTGAATTTTTCGCTTTTGAATATATTTTATTTCAAGGCTACAAATGGCTCTCTATAATTTTTAAGTCCAACTTAGAGTTAATTTCGTCTTAGAATCTTTGTGAACCCCCCCCCCCCCCCTGATCAACTCACCTTATAACTGCCATTCTGTAGAATTTCAAGGACTGCACTGGTCTCTTCTCTATCCACCAGCTCTCGGACAGCTCCGAGAAAGATAGACGGTTCCCATGATGACTGGTCTTCAAGCTGGTGGCAAGAAACATTAAGAGAGAAAAACAGTAGGAGGTTTTGATCAAGATGTTCTCTATATTAAACAAAAATGTTTACAAAATAATTGGAAATATGAAAGACTCTGCTCTACATTTTTCCCCACTCCAGCAAAGCATATAGAGAGTCAATGCTAATTCGTATTGACCTCTAGCACTGCACTACGTGTTAATAGGCAGCATTTGCACACATGAATAGTCAATACACTCTCAATACACAAATGCACACAATCATGCCGATGTAGCTGATCAGCAAGTTTGACAGTAGACTTACAATTTAAATTTTAAATTATTCTTTCTAATATTGGTAAGTTACAAAAATTGTATTTTACTGCTATTTGTCACTAAAGTACTGATTTTGAGTGAAATCAGTTGAGTTTTGTACTGTGGTGTTTGAAATGTTGAGAATCAATAGCACAGCTTTTGATACACGGCCAGGATAGTAATGCAGCTATGTGTGGTTTTTCCTCACAAGTTATGAATAAAATTAGATCTAGTCAATTAATATACAATCCCAACTGCCCAAGAGCTGGACAACTGAACGTGCTAATCATGCACTTTCACACCATGCACTTTAAAACGTGTTAAAAGAAGAGCAAAGAGAAGACTTATGTGGAAAGCGCTTTATATCCAGTGGATACGGGACTATAGACTATATATAAATTGCAACTATCATTAATACAGGTAGTGATTTTGGAGAAAACATGCATCATGTGTAGCACTAGCAGAGACAAACTTTGTATTCATTGTGTACATTAGTGCGCAATGTGTGCAATTGCTGCCTGATCTCAGCAGAGCATAGAGACTAAAGAGTCACTCAATACTAATGCGGCTCTAGGCTAGCGCTGTACTACATGCTAAGAGGCAGCAATTGCACATACGCATGAATAGTCAATACACTTATTGAACACAATGAAGACGATGTGGCTGATCGGCAAGTTTGACAGTATAGACTCACGATTTGAATTTTCAAATTATTCTTTCTAACATCGGTAAGTTGAAAAAAATTGTATTTTACTGCTATTTAGATCTAGATCTAGGTCTAGATCTAGGTAGTCTAGGTGTCATCAATTGTCACTAAAGTACCCATTTTTAGTGAAATCAGTTGACTTTTGTACAGTGGTGTTTGAAATGTTGAGAATCAATAGAACAGTTTTTAATTCACAGCCAGTCCATGATAGTTAATGCAGCTATGCGTGGCCAGCGCCAGGCTCAGCTCAGCTCAGCTCAGCTCAGCTCAAGCTCAACACACAGTCACACTGTCTGGACTAACCTGCTAACAAAATAAGGAACATGTGGGGCAATAGCGAAATTGTAAACTCTAATGAAATTCATCTTTCTACAGTGGAAAACAGATGGTATGTAATCGGGAGCATCTTTTTTATGTAGATATCTATATCTTCTTCTACGAAATTATGCACAAAGTTGCACATAACTTACGAAATTGTCAGCAAGCTTCTTCAATTCTGCCGCCATTCTATATTCTTTCTGGATCCCTCAGTCGGTTGGTCGGGCGCATGCAACACATGCACAGCGCGCATGTTCATACAGTACATCAATAGGGAAATCCCCTCGATTCTCTTCGTTATGGGTCATCATCACCACCATCGGGACGATGATGGTTCTTATCAAACTGACATCAAACTATAGATCTCTAGATGTATCGTGCAGGACCGAGACCACTTTTTTTTAAGGAGATGAACATTTGTTATTATAGTTTTTTTTTTTAAATCTCAGTTGTAATATGTCTGTATGTTTTAAACTTTTTATTAGAGAATGGCCAATTAACGAACATAATCGTCGATCATCATCATCATCATCATCATCATCATCATCATCATCATCATCATCATCATCATCATCATCATCATCAATCATCATCAATCATCATCACCAAAAACAACGAATTACAACTTACATCAGAGTAAACCAGATCAACATACATCGAAATGTCATGATTTTGTGATATTTATAGAGTACAATAGATTAAAACACGTCTGTACTAGTTTGGCCAGGAGGGATTAGACCACCCAGCGTGGTCACTGACAGGTGATTATCTCATCAACTCAGCTCTCAATTAACATTAGAAAAAGAGGATCATGGGGGACCAACGGGCACCACTGAGCATTGTTTTCTATATAGAGGGAGAGCAACAAGTAGGTCAAGTGCAGTGGGGCTTTAAAAGGGTTAAAAGGGGACGTTCAGGTTATAAGCTGAATACTGATTCTTGTTAATCGGCAAGCAAATATGAGAACAAAAGGGAAATGATGGTTAATGACAGCCTGCATGCTATCCCTGGCATCCAAATTATCATATGCAATAGTTTTAAACTCACACAATTTAGTAAGTGAAGTATAAGGTTTCGATAGAAGCTATATTGTTACTATTTTTCATGGTTTGGCAGTTTTGATTGTACTTGAAACAGAGCATCCGATATACCCGAGATCAACATACAGGCCTACCCTGTCAGAATAAATAGATAAATAAAGAAATAGATATATAGAGCTCTTTCCCAATTAAAGCATGTAGGTCTTTGTTGAGCCCTAGCGTATGCGTTGCCAGTTAAAATTAATGTCAGAGGTAAAAATATCAGAGGTAATAACGTCAGAGTTAATTGACGACATGATGAGAGAGAGAGATGGGGGAGAAAGAGAGAGAGAGAGAGAGAGAGAGAGAGAGAGATATATATATATATATAGAGAGAGAGAGAGAGATAGAGAGAGAGAGAGAGAGAGAGAGAGAGAGAGAGATGGGAGTGAGAGATAGAGAGAAAGATAGACAGACAGAGAGAGAAAGAGAGAGCCTGAGAGAGATAGACAGACAGAGAAAGAGAGAGAGAGAGAGAGATAGTGTAGTTTTGAGGAAGAGAGGGGAGAGAAAGGAGGAAAGAATAGGAAATAGTGAGAGTGTGTGTGAGTTAAACTCAACTATAATGTCTACAAACTTTCGTTTTGTCAAAGAATAATATTGCGTGGTTTGATTTTTGACCTGTTATTGCTGGTAATAAAAAGGCATATTTTCACTTTACTGTACGTAGAAAAAATATAATGTAATTACTTATTACCAATTTTCAACTAAATTCTTTCCTGACAATAAGTTGGAGGAACATGATTTCATTTTACACATCCTTCAGTAGATTTAGGGAGAGAAAATGTATAAAAACTCACCTCTTTGACCATGATCAACAACTTCTTTGATTATTTTTATGTAAAGCGCTGTGAAACAACAGTCGATTTATAAGAGCGCTATATAAATGATTTTATTATATTGTATTGTATTGAAACTCAATTGGCATACCTTGAGTACAAACATACTATGGTGTTTTGTAATCTAGTTTATCATCACTTAAAAAGGCGTTAGATAACAGGAGCGATTTGCATCTACGCTTCTTTCTTTTTTAATTAATTTTTGTTTTATGTATTTGTTCTTCTTTTATTTTTGCCTCTGTTTGACAAATTTATTCCAGTGCGTGTCGATTTTCATTAAAAACCCTTCAGGCCGGTCATATTAATAACTGTCATTACATAGCATGTCAGCTCTAATCACATAGATAATACTCGCTGCAGTGGTGAATACAATTACCCGGAAACGTGGCGTCAATCACAGCGGATGAGTTGGACATGGGGTCATTCAACAATGTCAAATTTCATATGTATTGATTGGAAACTAAAAATACCCACAAAACCTAATGAACATGATCAGCAAGAGGCAGACAAAATTCATGTCCGAACGTTCGTGTCGAAAGTGTATATACCTCCATCGTGCAGATTACCGTCTGTGGATAGTTGTTTTGTTTGAAGGCAAACAAAATTTACAAAAATGGTATCATGATATAGTCTTTCCGTTGATGCCACAATCAAAAGGAGTTGATCATCATGGTTGAGACAAAGATCTAGAATACGTTCATATCCTGCATTTCCCCCTCCACGACATACATTATGTGCAAGACAGTGCACACCTGTATATTAACAGATTTTCTGAAGAAGATGACTGGCAAAGCTACTTGCTGACCCTAGACACACAAGTGCATAGAGACGTAGCCTCCACTGAAACTTCGGGGGGGGGGGGGGTGTTCCACAAAGACTAAGATCGATTTTAAGTTGGAATTAACTATAGCAGGCCGTTCATGCCACTGGTTGCTCTCACTATTGGTCCATTTAGATATTTATGTTTTTTCCTTCAATAATGAATTATCAAAAAATGTAAATTCTGTATAGATTTGTGACCATGATTTGTACGTCCCTTGAGAGACCAATGCCAGTAAATGGTGAGAGAAAATTGTGGCATTAATGGCCTGCCATGATTAAGTCTATCTTAAAGTCGATATTAGTCTTAGTGAAACCCCCCTGGAAGGCTATTCCAGTCACGATGCCTACCCCAGGCGGGAATTTGATTTATTTAATTGCTCACAATATTATATACATTTTTTTAACGAAGTGTAAACCAAAATTTCGTCACGAATTAACCGAAAGCTCGCACTAGTAAAGGATAGCATAGTATTTGATTGAGATTTTTGTTTTCATTCTAATTTAGTTTTGTTTTAAATTCTTACTCACTTTTACGTCACTAAAAGTATGGTTTTTGTTAAAGTTTGGTCTTCCGAGTATTTTATATAAAATTCATTGTGGTAAGTAACTTAACAAAGCAAAAACACAAACAAGAATAAGAAGAAGAATAAAAAGAACACAAAAGACGAAGAAGCAGAAGAAAAAGAAGAACAGAAACAAGAAGAAGAAGAAGTAAAAGATGAAGAAGAAGAAGAATAAAAATATACAAGAAGGATGAGAGATAGGACTCGAGAAGAGGTGAAATAAAACTGCTTGGATTTTCCCCAACAAAAGTCAATCATTCAACCGAAATAATAATTAGCCTTTGTAGACAAACATTATTATTAGCAGCAAAACATACAAACCATGTAGAAATTGAAAAGTAATTAGGCGACCTGGATATTTATTCTTGAAAGCAAAGCTAATAGAAAAAAATGCTCTCTTTAAAAATTATTCATTACTGGCCTTGTCCATGTTCAGTTGGTTTGTTGCCATGGCAATTTGGCAGAAACTGATGCCATTACCCATCACATTGTTATTACTGGAATTGATTGTTAAAAAAAGACCGATGCAAACATTATGTCAAACCTATTGCCTTGATGGCGGTAATGTCAGCAAACCATCACTTACGAATCGAGGTATAAGAAGCTTTGAAAGACCATTTGAGCAAAACGTATCGTTAAATTCAGTGGTTACCATGGCAACACCTTCCTCTTTTCTTGACGACGGTTAAACACTACGGAGTTGCATTTCATATCGATATTGTCTGGTGCGTGATTCGGATTCCCTAATTAAACATCGAACCTTAGATGATTAACGGAAGACTATTTTGTTCTCCTAAAATGATGTTCTGTTCTGTTTACCGAGTTGTCGAATTACGACATTGAAGTAATGTTGCTGTCAGCAATATTTAGTAGAAAGAGTGTGCATGTAAAACCGAACTGATATTTTATTGACTAGGTGAAATATTCATCTCCAGTTTTAAGGGAAACTGGAAAAAAAAAGTCATTTCTTTTCAAAAACTTATTTAGATCAATACTATACTACTTAAAGGATCGTGTAAAATTCTTCGAAATTTGATTTTGATTACTAAACGATTGCTGGAATGGATCTGACGGGCTTTCAAACACACCCTGGAAATAGCACAGAAACCCCTGTGATATCTTTCCACCATCGAGCTATTGTTGCATCAGTCTTGATTGCTTTGACGATAATCGGACTGTTTGGTAATGGCCTCGTCATCTTATCCGTCATCGTCGCCAAGAAGCTTCGTACGGTGACCAACATCTTGGTCGTCAACCTTGCTTTCGCTGATCTTGTCACCTGTTCCCTCCAGCCGTTTCTGAGCTTGGGTCTCCTAAGTCAAACAGGACGATATCCTCTTCACGAGGCGGTCTGCGCAACTGTAGCAGGTGTCATGTTTACCTGTCTCTGTTCCAGTGGGTCTACCTTAGTCGCCATTGCTGTCGTCCGCTGGTACGTCATCACGAGATCTGTTCGTGCCTACCAGGGGATTCACACTCCAAAGAAAATCGCCACAGTGGCGGTGCTCATCTGGATCCTCTCGGTCGCGTTCATGGTCGTACCCCCTGTACTCGGCTTCGGGACACTAGGGTATTCTAAATACTACGGTCTATGCTCTTTTTCAGATACGAACTCGTATTACTTCTATTCTATTATATTCCAGGCAATTTTACTTGTAACCGCCCTTTTGCTTAACGTGACATTCTACATTCTTATTCTGCGACATGTTGTGCGTCACAACAGGCAGATTCAGAACATGATTGGCATTATTGAAATCAGCAGATCAAGCACTTTACAGGGTTGTCAGAATGAGGCTTCGTCCGTGCCTCGCGGTCGTCGACCACCAAAGATCCAAGCCATCAACAAAATGGAGGTCGAAATCACCAAGAATCTCTTCATCGTTGTCTGTGTGCTTATTCTCTGTTTCCTAGTGCACAGCGTGAACTTAGTCATCCCCGGTACGAGCGTAGCCACACTCTATGGCTACATAATCTTACTAGCGAACAGTGTTGTAAACCCGATCATCTATGGACTGAAGCATCCTAACTTTCAGGGGGTCTTCAAGAACATCCTCTGCTGTCGTCAACTCGATCAAGGATGACTAGACCTGAGAGGTTGATATGGTGAATCGTTTCTTACTTGACTGAAGACTTTAAGTAGCATGGTTCGTCGAACACAAAACATTTCTTGTACATAGTTAAGCATACAGTCCTATCTATCCTCAACTATTTGTTGCAAATTCACCATCTCCTGATAGGCTATAATTATTTTTCATGTCTACGTTTCATGAGTATGGGACAATCGAATCTAACTGTCAATTAAAAAAACATCGTACACTCTTTCCTCCATCAAAAACTTCAAAAGCTAACGGTTCAGATAATTGCTCCTCTACAGCTAAGTCTTGTCATGAATTGTGTCGCTTTGATTTGCGTGCCAATAGGGACTTTTAGATTGAGTGGACGAGAACACGACGAACGCCGACTGATCATGCGTGTCAACGTACCCAACTGCCCATGTTGACTACAATAAGAAATCTTTTATATTGCACTCGACGATATACATGTATGCAAGAATTAACACTATGAACATGACGGACAAAGAAGGAGGACAAAATATACAGTTCCTCATTCTACCCTCAACAATTGCTGTGGTAGAACATCCCTTCACTGCTCTTAAGTAAAATGTGTAGAACAGGTGAATATGCATGTGAAACCTGTTCTACACATTTTACATAATAGCTGGGAAGGGATGTTCCTTTGTCTATACCTGAGGAACTGTATATTTTATGCGCACGCGGCATATACTAGTAACGTACCAGATTTAGGAAAATCAAGGTTGACGCATTCTCGATCGTCGACTGAGACGACGTGACGCATGCGCAGTGCCTTAAAATGACGTCACACGTTGCAGTCAAAGCTGTCGACGTGCAAATCTAAAAGTCCCTATTAACTCAAGAAACAGGACGACTGCCTCTTGTATGCACTAACGCCCTCTACTCTTGATATGATCATGTTATACTAGTAATGACATAACCATTCGATACTCGGTCAATCAGGATTGTCAGACTAAATTTATGTACATGCCCGTATATGTCTATATTCAAGCTTTGCATTTACTGATACAGATTTCTCCATGCTGTACGCTTTTGTTTAGATGAGCCTCTACCACTTGCATCGTATTATCTTAGAAGAATACATATATCTTCTACGACTACGAGCTATGCTATAATCGGGCGGGGGGGGGGGGGGGGGGGTACTCACATATTGAGACATACGGGGATGTGCCGCTCTAATAGGTCATTTTTTGACAAAAAAATCCTAACATGGGTATCATTTTTAACAAAATATCCCTAAACATGGGTCTGTTTTTTCAAAATTGTGCAAAATGGGCCTTTATTTCGAGAAAAAAATCCCCAAAGTGATCCTTAAAAATGGGTAAGGGTTTCGAGGCTTGGGCGGCACACCCACGTCCAAACCAAATCTGAGTACCCCCCCCCCCCGAGTCCGGGGGGGGGGGGCTATAACACGTTGATATGCATCTGTATGTTTTGATCTTGAATTGGACTTGAAAAGAAATGATGCTGGTTAATACGTGAAAAAATGTACTCATATAATGTTACAAATTTCTTTGTATAGTTAGTGAAGATATTAAATTAGTATAATAATGATTTTGTACATAGGCGCCAATAGCTCCATAATACTGAATTTACGTAAATTTAAAGTTGATATGCATCTGTATGTTTTGATCTTTAATTGGACTTGAAAAGAATTGATGCTGGTTACGTGAAAAAATGTACTCAATTTTAATGTTACAAATTTCTTTGTAGAGTTAGTTAAGATATTAAATTAATATAATAATGATGTTGTACATAGGCGCCAATAGCTCCATAATACTGAACTTACGTAAATTTAACCGAATGACCATTCTATTTTGAAGAGGTTACACATTATCCAAATGTTTAATTTTCTGATTTATATTACTGTTCGCCCTTTTTCATTCTCAATGTATCAAATATTTTACATGTCAAATTCATGTGTAAACTGAACTTAATGATTCACATACGGCTATGATACAATCTGGAATTGATTTGGTTTGGTGTTGATGGGATCCCTACTTGAAAAAAATTACTTTCCGTGACATGCCCGTGAGATGCAGGTGTCGTGTATTATATACAAGCTATATCCTGGCGTCCATATAATACCGCAGTCACGCAGTGCTATTCATGTATACTTCCTCGCTCATCGATATGTCCTTCACAAAATATAAAGAAACATAAAAGTTGAAACGGACATCGGTTACATTGCCAACATAGAACAGGAAACATATGGGCTTACTTAATAAATTCAATTCTTTTAATGTCTTGAACTGGAAATCTGGACAAGGAAAAAGAAATCAGAAATATCAATGACAGTTATATGCCCCGTTAGCAAAAACATATATGACAGCCAGTTGACACTCCTTACTATAGTTACATTGTTATTTAGTGCGACCTGTGATAAACGTCTCAAAACGTACAGATAAGTTAAGTATACTGGTCATGCGATTACATTGTGAAAGAAACTGACCGAAAGCATTTGAGAAAGATTCAAGTTTATGTAGTACATAGTGAGGTTTAGGAATGGTCAGAAATATAAAGAAACGAACCCAATCCTGATCAAAATGCTCTGAACTCTTAAAATATTTAGTAAATATCCCAGCACAAGGGTAATGATGTGTTCAGCCAATTTTGGGCTTTTTTGAAAACCCATCATGTGTTATATATCGTCCCGTTTAAAGGGTCCCAACGAAATTAATCTACTTCAAATGGGCAAAGTGTTACGCAGCTGGAAATAAATTCCCGAAACTTGTTGTCTCTGCGTGGTTGTACACACAATTATACCATCGTGGCAAACTTTCACCCAATATTGTTGCATACAAAATTGGTCCGAACCTTTCAGCCATTTCACGGCATATTTCGAATATGATGGCTTTTGAAGAGCAATGTTACCCAGGGGCGTTGCTGCTATTATATTTTTCCAAACCAACTTACAGGGATTGTGAAAGCTCATACATTATTTTTTTATCTTTACCACAACTAAACATTCTCTTTGATTTTTAGGGACGTTGCTCAAGGTGGAATTGGAAGACCAAAATACACTTGTTAAGAGGTGAACCTGAATTATGGCGGAATTGGATTTATTCGTTTATTTATTCCTCTGGGGGGGGGCATATGGAAACGTTTGCTTGTATTGTGTCTCATAAAAGAAGTTGATCACAATCTGACTCCCAGTCCCACACGGTTTTGAGTGCTCAGGGGTCACAGGCCACTGGCTTCATCGGGCAGGTAGTTCCATTATGCGAATGGGTAAATTAACAATTACAAAATGAGGGGACACATTACATTGTACAATAGGGACACACATTGTTTTTATTGTGCAGAACATACTCTTTTATTGACTTACTTATTGCATGAAACTTTAAAACCAAAATGCATTTTGTATTCTAACAATTGGAGTACAAAGAATAATAACAGGTGAATGAAATGCATTATACACCACAAACACCTGGGGAGGAAGCATTCATAAATTTGAATACATATTATAGTTGATAAACGACTCCGATGAAACTATGAAATCAAAATGAAATTTGCGTTCTGGCAATTGGAGTACAAAGAATGATAGCAGGTGAATAAAATGCTCCAACAGCAACACAAACACCTGGGAAGCTAGGAAGCATCCATAAATTTGAATAATTTAGTTGATAAACGACTCCGCATGTGGACGTTTGTTTGAGCAGAAAACAGTGGATTCTTAACAACACGAACCCATTCAACAGAATGTCGAAACGTAAATTAAATTTGGCGCGGTTGGAAAATGCATCTCTCTACCCTGCGACTTTAATGGTACGATCCAGTAAATTAAAACAGTAAAATGGCTCTATTTTAAAATTACTCATTAAATACAACCCAAAACTTCAGTGATATCAGAAAAAATATGTTAAATCTTACTAAAAGTTAAAAAAAGATGTATAAACATTGTGAAAGTGTCGCATTTTACGATAAAAGACGCCGATTTAGCGAAGATGACGTCATTAGTGCGCTTGCATCAGGGAATTCAAGTTCAAAAGGTCAATTCAGACACTGATAAATTATTGGTCGAGCCTTTTTGTTTCCTTTATTCCGACAAAATTATACAATCAATCAAAACAAGTTTAATACCAAAAGAAAGCTAACGATTATTATTTTCTTAAACCGCTTGCCCCAAAGTCGCTTGACCACAGTGAAACGAGTGAGAGCTTGCGAGAGCGGCCAAAGTGCGATTGAAACTCGCTATTTGCTGTTCTCCAATGCAAAAAGACACGACATTGTGCTGGATAAATGTATTTTTTCCGACAAAAGTACATAAAATTTGCATATGGTCTTTTTATATTATACTTTATGAAATGTTACCCGAGTGACTTCCGGGCGCCCCAATGCTGGAAAGAAACGCACATTTTAGAAAACTTCACTTCTTCATGGAAAAATGCTTATTTGATCTATGCACGCAAGTCAGATTGAGCGGATGATACAACGTTTCCATATGGGGTGGAGGGCAACAGCCCGTGCCGTCCCCCATTTGAGATCCAAGTATCATACTTTTGGTATATACACGTCGAAGGAGGTGCACCCCTTTCACTTTGAGGTGATGACCATTTAGTTTTTTTTCTTTTTACCAGATTCAAGGAATATTTTGTTCCCCCCCCCTTTTTTTAATGAAAGGCCGGATTTGTCCCTGAACCGCGTAGGAGGAAATGGGTATCGAGCTGATAAAAGAAGTCTGTTGTTTGTTTTCAATCATTTCGGAGAAAAACAGTCGACGGCAAGACAACTCTACCCTGTTTGAAAATCATCATTAGATAATCACCCAAATAATTGTGGTATTAAAAGAGTCACCAGTCAAACTTGCCCGGACAAGATGATTTTAAAATTTTGTTTCATCATATCGGCGATCCTTTTCACGCAAATCTTGGGAATACTCGCACACAGGATCAGTAAGTTGAAAACAAAGAACTCACCACGTACTTTTTCTTCTTTTTTAATTCTTACTTTACAGCCATTTCATGGGGATGTAATAATGATTTTTG